AAACACGCGCCCCGCCACGCACTCAATAACCTTTCAACCTCTTACGGCGTGAAAACGTCAATAACTTGTTATGACTGCCGTGCCTTTCAGACGCTGCAGGCGCGTGTGGTGCGAAGAGAAAGCGGAGAACGTTTCGCCATGTTTATCTCACCGCTCTAGAATTCTGCTGAAACGGCTGGTGCATTATACAAATATTTCACTGTAGGGCACCCTGTGTCGTGGCCTATAGCCAAAATGTTGTTGTATCGTTGCTCGCTGGGGCGAGAAATTATGCCTTCTTCTAGAGTTTGTATTCTTTAGCGGCGCCATATAAGAACTGCATGCGATTCGTCGAGGGCGTTGCTCTCATGGTGAATTTATTTCTGTTATTTTTCTTTTGATTATTGATGCGAGAAAACTGCGACCACTCAGAAAGTATGCCCTTCGAAAATCTTCCTGGTGGCGTAATGTTCTATCAGAGCAAAACAAACTATACCGCGCCAATTTGTCTGCTACTTAGGCGAAGATCTGTCATCAGATACTTAATATGTATGTGAATGTTTGTTTATCTATAGACATAAGACGCAGCTCAATATACAAAATGCGCTTATTATTCGGCTTAAGACTAATATTCGCCAGGATTTTTCATCCCAAAATTATGAAATGATTATGGACGACGCTGTATTGGTGGGCTCCGGAAATCGTGAACTGAGGTTCTTGAACGCGTACTTAAATCTAAGCACACGGACCTCCAGCATATTGCCGCCATCGAAATCCGACCGCCACGGTTGGGATTCGATCCCGAGCACTTCGATTCAGCAGTCGAGTGCTGTCACCATTGGAATACCACGTTCGGCAGCTTGGGCTAGTTGGTATGGCATTACGATCTTCGTGTCTTTCGTGTCCTTCTTGTCTCTGTGTCGTCGTTTTGTTCTCGCGCTATAACTATCGTAATACCACGTTCGGGTTTTGTCAGGCTTGCGTGTTCACCATTTACTAGCCCAAACACTTCATTCAGATCACCCGTTACGGTAATCTAGAGGCTAAGGCACTCGATTGCAGACCCGCAGGTCAAGGGATCGAATCTCGGCAGCGGTAGCCGCATTTGCTATGTACCCGAGAAAATGCTTGAGCTCGATGTGCTTAGATTTAGGAGCACGTTAAATGCCCAGGTGGTCGAAATTTTCGGAACCCTCCACTATGACGTCACTCATAATAGCGTGTTGGTTTTGGGACGTTAAATCTCAACAGTTATTTTTGTACTTCGTTCGGATCACGCACTCTCGCACGCGCATCTGAACACAGACAGACACATAGACGGGTATACGCTTGCACGCCCATTAAGGCGCAGTAATATTACATGTCTAAAACTTCAACTCACTGTTCGCAATAACCGAGTATTCATGACATACGAACTCATCTGCAAGAGTTTCCTGGGATTAAATTTTGCTATTATATAGTTCATTACGCTTGGCTCGTGAAGAACGTAAATAATGGTTTAAGAGACACTTATGTGGTGGTCAGAAGATTGACATATATAAACAATTCCATGCCCACAAAGTTTGCATAATAACTGAATGGCCGGTAAAGCAAGAAGTTTCATTACCCGTTTCATGATTCGACTGCGTCCCCTTAGCACTCTTACCTTCCTCTTTTATTACCCTTTTGTCACAAAAAATAAAAGGATAAACAAAAGGGATTTGGTGGGTGTCTTGGCCAAGATTCATAAAGAAAAATACGCGCTAGGTGCAAAAGTTACTCCTAAATGAGTCGCCTCGAAAGACACCGAGGCCATGTGAAAGGCGTCACATCTTCTGCCGTTTATACTGTTCCACAAAGTTAAGCTGTGACAGTGTCTTTTTTTTTTTCTTGAACGTTATGCGTTTCATTTCGACTCTTATTGTTCGCACTGGCGTGTAGCTGCTGAAATAATGAAAACACAAAGTGGGCGCACACTCTGGCGCTTTGCCGGAGTCAATTATAAATTTAACGCGCCTTACTTTGTGGCCACAATGGCGAGGACATGCCGACGCTGTTGCGCGTCCAACTACAAGGAAAATGTCTTCATCGTGCTAGAACAACATCATTTTTCAAGATAACTTCGGTCGCCTGTGTACTACATTCATATTTCAGATTTTTTATTTGTAGAAGTACAAGATTGTTACATTTGTTTAGTATACAAAAGTTGGTCCTAAAGTCAAAGGCTGTATCGGGATTTCCTGTTACAGGCAAATTGCGATAAAACAGTGTTTGAGGCAACATATGCAATCATCTAAAGTATAAACGAAACACGTTTGAGCAGAACTTGAAAAAATTGACGAAGAAATCTTGAACTATAAAACCTTTGATTGGTTCGTTGTTTCTCTCCTCGTTGCTCTTGTTGCTGTTGTCCTACGACACACACACACACACACACACACACACACACACACACACACACACACACACACACACACACACACACACACACACACACACACACACACACACGCACACGCACACGCACACGCACACACACACACACACACACACACACACACACACACACACACACGCACGCACGCACGCACGCACGCAAGCACGCACGCACGCACGCACGCACACACACACACACACACACACACACACACACACACACACACACACACACACACACACACACACACACACATGCTGAAGGGGATCTTCCTTATATCTCTTTTTTTCCTTCCTCTATCTGTTTCTCTTTTTTCTTCTGTGCTAGTTGTATCTTCTACGCATCTGTTTCTTTCATGTTGTTTATTTCTATGTACTCCTCTTTGTCACTAGAAATATGTTTATCTGAATTTTCTTTCTCTGTGTTCATTCTTTTTTTCTTTTTTCTCTTTACTTCTCTATTTCTTTCTCTTTCTGTCTTGCTCTCTGTCTCTTTTTTTGCTATCATTTTCTCTCCCATTCATCTTTTTATGTCCGTACTTTTATTCTTTTTCTCCCTTTCACGTGTCTCACGTGCTTCACTTCGCCGACCAGTTTTCCTCGTTTTACGTTCGTGCATGCTGTACTCGGAAGCGGGGCTTACACAATTCCCGTGGCACATACCCACCCGCGGAGTTCATCACGACAAAACACATGTTACCAATAACTTAAGCAGCCGTACTTCGTAGCCATGGAACAGTTAGTCTGTAGATATCAAAGGCAAACAAACAAGCACGCAAACAGCAATTACACAAGAGCTCATTCATACACGTACGGAAGCGCACCAAAGCTCTGTATGCATGCATACGCACAAAATTGCGCACGCACACACACACACACACATACACACACACACACACACACACGCACACACAAATGAGAGGGAACAAGCGAATATGAAAAAGCACACGACGAGACTCTAGCGGATGGGAATCAATGAACTTAACGCGCGCGCGCACGAGCACAAGCTCGTAAATTACACGCACAAAGTATACCACAGCCAACAAACACGCACAGGGATTAGCTTGCACGCACACAAACATGTAACCGCGCGTTATCCACGTGAAAGAATCGATACCAACAGTTGTGATGGTGACATTGTTGAAACGTTTAACGGCGCTAATACAAACAAGGAGAAAGAGAAAGTGAAGGACAGAATCCACGTGCTGTCCCTTAATTTCTTTGTGTACGTGTTTGTAAAAGTGCAGCTGGATCTTTCAAGAATGAAAAATAATTGTAGACTCGTGCAAGTCCGTCGTCTTCAGATTAGTGCAATGGGTGTCAAACGTGGTATGCCTCATCAGAAGTGGCGGTATGCCTCATCATGCGATCAGGCGTCAGGCTGATCGTTAACGAGCATCCAAGCCCGTACAGAACAACCGCTTCTTCCAAAGAACTGGCCCACGTCTTTAGAACTTCCATCAGCGTACACTATCAATGAAGCAAATGACGCGACGGTTACATGTAGCAGCTCAAGTGCACATGCTGGAAGAGACTTTTACGAAGGAAAAGCAGAAGGCATCTTGAATTACAAGAGATGACACACTAGAACGTGAGAATGATTGCACGCCGAAGACGCCAGATTTTGTTGCATTGCAGTCCTCACATCTTTGCAACCGAATACCTGATGAAAGGAAATCAAGGCCATTTAACCAAGGGAAGAGAAATTTAAAGTCAATGAGAAAACAGAAGCCTACTGCCAGTACTTATCAAAACTACGGCACTTCGGGTAAGCCACTGAAGTCAAGATTAGAGAGGCTGTGTTTGGCACGGCATATATTTGCGAAGATGGGCAATGTGAAGACAACGTCAACCCCCCGAATGAGACAGCCCAGACCAACGCAGAGTGAAAGGGCTGATGCTCCGAAGGCGAGGGCAGGCAAGAGAAAGAAATCAAGAAAAGTTCTGAGGAACAGTTACACCACAAACTTGCGGAAGACTCTGCATAATAGACCTTCCTGCCCAAAGAAACAGATCATAGAAAGCAGTTTACCAAAAGTGACACGTCCACTGGCATGAGCGTGGAACAAGCGCCGTAAGCATCATTGGAAGGCCAAGCGCAGAAAGAAATCCGGATGATTCTATACAAGGACTGACATGGAACTCGTACTGATGAACATGGTGTACTCGGAACCCGTGTACGATTTTAGTGTTCTCAATCGTCATTCGCCACTGTGGGGGCGCGGAGGATGTTGAAAATTATGTTGAATACGAGGAGTGTTGATATCATCATCAGGAGGAGAGCAGGTACATTCGGAATAAAGGAAAGGTGCATCGGGTGGGCTTCGCCGATGGGCACGGTGGCTCGTCCTTTCCTCAACAAGGTCTGTTGCACGAATTGAGCGCCGGATTTGTGGGCCTACCTCCCCCCCCCCCCCACTGATTACTTGACTTTATAAACGAAACAAATATACTTGGGTATTTTTGAATAAGACTTTATGGTATGCCCTAGGGCATACTTCGAAACAAAAGTAGAAAATAATGAAAAAGCTCTGCTTGATGTTCTTTGATGATGACGAAACATGCGTCCTGTGTACTTACTTTTGCTTATTTCTTTCTCTTTGCAGTGTCGAGATGGCTGTGACAAGTGGCGGTATCCCTCGTCATGCGATCACGTTTGCGTAAGTGACTTCATACATTAAGAAACCTGTTTCAGTAGCTCTCCGTATTTTTCGAAGTGTACGTAACGTTTATTTCTTTGTGCTTCTCGCAGAATAAGACGGGCTCCTCTCATGGAAAGGTGAGTGCTTCTTTTTTTTTTCTCGGCGAGTAAATAACTAACTCTTGTATATACGTTGACATTTAGTCTGCCTTACAAAGGAATAACTCTAAAAGAACACCTAACAACAGAAAAAAAACAGTTACCGGCAATTCATTTGGACACTCGCGTGTTTTATAGCGTGAGAAACTGACCTATATATGAACAGTCACCAGAACTTTCCTCTGTATTGTTCTGAAATGTTTCCTATATACTCAAAGCTAAGTTTCGCTAGAGATCATATCGGGCTAGTTACAAGGACAAGGAAGCAGCGACATATCGCATGTGTGTGTGTGTGTGTGTGTGTGTGTGTGTGTGTGTGTGTGTGTGTGTGTGTGTGTGTGTGTGTGTGTGTTGTGTGTGTGCGTGTGCGTGTGCGTGTGTGTGTGTGCGTGTGCGTGTGCGTGTGTGTGTGGTGTGTGTGTGTGTGTGTGTGTGTGTGTGTGTGTGTGAGGAGGTAGTATTCAGTCTTTACAGCACATTTATTACTTCACGTGCGCATAATTTTTCTAATTGCCAGCATTTAAACCAGCCAATTGAAAAATACGCTGTTTTCCTCTGCTCGTGTGATAATTTGCAGTCTCTCCGTGGTTTGTTTTTCAGGACCTATTCTGTCTTATGGGTTGCAACCTGGCAGTAACGGAATACCTACGACATGTAAAAGGTGATGACGTTATTGTTTATGTGGTCTTTGTGCGGTCGAGTGGCTGTTTAACCTCACTTGAAATTATCATAAAGCTTAGTGTAGGCTCATCGCGATGCATGATAAACGTACAGACCCATAATGCCCTATAATTGCCTAGTTAAACTTCCCCTGTATCACTCCAGTATTCCTACAGGTTTCAGCAAAATTACTATGGAACTAAAGGGGAAGCATATGCGAAGCATAGGTATACTTTGTATAATACGGATTTGATTAAAAAGGCATATGAGATTATGAAAATTACATATGGAACGCTTCAGAAGGAATATGGCCTCCCGTGCAGGCGGATCATGTCGATCTGTGGCATAAGGCCGGAAAGGTAAATTTATGGGCTCGTTTTCTTTTTATTAGAAACAATATTAACGAGAACAGACAGATAATTTTGCCATGGAAAGTATAGGGAATAATTTGAAAGCAATATTAACGTAAATGTGAAAAAAGTAGATGAAAAGATAACTTGCCATGGGCAGGGACAGAACCTGCCACCATCGAATAACCCGTCCGATGCTCTACTATCTGAGCTATCGCGGCGGCTATCCCCCATCCACTTTTATGGGCTACGTATGTGCATTAAACGTGGGAATGTCAGTAAGCGTTGCATGTTGCCATTGCGGCGAGTGTGGGACACTCATATTTCGGCCTAATGGCTTCACGTAGGCTACAGTTCTCGTTAATATTGTGGTATAAGGCAACATTCTACCCATTACTGTATTTATTGTCTATGTCTGTGAGCTCGTCACTAATCACAGATTGGTCAGTGTTTTCAGTAACAAACATCATTCACGTGTTTTTAATATAACCTCCCAAATTGTCGCAACAAGGGTCGCTTTTCAGAAGTGTGTGTGACTGAAGATTTAGTGTATGACGCAATAGTAAGAGAAAGAGAAATAATTTTAATTGATATTGATGTGAAATTACTTATTCTGTCACTTTTTATTGACATGCTTTGTTTCAATAAAAAGTTATTTGCCAAATGTAATCAGGTTCACAGCCCTTCACAAGCTCCTAGAAAGTAAGTGTATTTTTGGTCCGGTCCTGGTATTTTGCCTTCCCTTGAAGGACCAATTAACAAATAAGTTGTCTATGTCCAAATAGTGAGCTCATTAATTAGTTATGATTGGGCAATAAGAGAACGTCCCCTTAATGTACAAGTTTTTCCTCAGACGCCTGGCACGTGTAAGAATCAAGCAACTTGGAAAGAGATTAGCACGTAAAATTTCCGAAGCCCTCCACTACAGCGTCTCTCATAATCATATGGTGGTTTTGGGACGTTAAAACCTACATATCAATCAATCAAGAGATTAGCACGTATTGTTTTAATGAAGGAATTGCATTGCTATTATTTTTTATTTGATTGACCACTTATCTTGATATCTATAAAATTACATTTTCAGGTTCATATTCTTGTCTGATATCTCGGTTCAATAATAAGCATCCATCAAGTTATTATTTAGGGTAATAAACATGATTCAGACTAATCAACGTGTGTGTAGTAAACAGTGTGATGAAAATTGCAATTCCCGACCTATTACCTGACTCTTTATTTTGTTATAATTTTTTGTCACCATGCAGCACAAATCGGCCAGCCGCTTCCGCCTTACCTGGTGGCCGACTCGCGAACCCATGACACGGTGACCATTCGCTGGAAGACGTCGCCACTGGCGCCCAACGTCACCTACCTGGTGCAATGGAAATACGAGGCCCTGCCCAGCGACTGGGAGTACTACAGGCCTGACCTCCCGCTCGCCAAAAACGTACTGCGAATTCAGGGACTCAGACCTTACACCAAATACAGGGTGAGCTCTTAACTGACAATCAAAGGCTTCGTGGTCAATCGGGAAAAAATAAAGCCAGCAGCATAACGTCGCGGAGTATTGCGTCGCAGCTAGGAGCATTACATTACAGATAATTACGCCATAAACCAGAAACATTACGTCATTCAACATCATTACGTCGCGCAGCCATCGTGGGCAAGGGAAGCTTTACGCCGACACCTTTCACTTCGATTTTTTGCCTCCCAGAATCGGCACATCACGTGACCTTTTAGACATAACGTACTCACCGAGAACGGAAAAGGAAGCGCTACGCGTATAGGGCACTTTACCAATAGGTTTTCATGCCGCTACATTGAGTTAACTAGACATTTCCGTATCTTTTACAACAACCAGTACTGCAGTAGACGCATGCCCTTGAAAACAGCTGGTTTGTTGCTTTCAGCATTTCGTGAGCTTATTCATTTCTCGTCACTGCATACAAAAGTAAGCAAACATTTGTTGAACAGCCCAGCACTACAGCGCCCTTTTGTCGAATGTAAAATCGTCTATACGTCATACCGTTATGTAGCGGCCACGCATCCAGTCGTTGTTTTATGGCTTCAATATTTCGAATGCGAGTGCATTTCTTAGTCGGGCTACGTCAGGCATCCGGCGTTGTCCGCAGCATCCGCGCGTCGGTAGGCGTTATTTCTTTGCTCTCGCTCCTTCTCTCATAGCAACAGGTGCGGGCGTGTGCGCTAATCCTCGCTCCGAGCAACTGGAGCATGTGGCGGGTGAGAGTGTAGGAGAAGGTAGGCGCGGTGCTTCGCCGCTCCTTCTCTCACCATTCTCTCTCTCTCCTCCCTGCGCCCCACTCTAGTCTTTTCGCGCCTCACACTCGATCGTTCGCTGGTGGGGCGCCTCTCAATAACATCCGGAAATGCTCGAGACGCCGCTCTGAAACGACAACACCGAGCCGAAAACGCTGGTGCCCCACTCCCTCACTCACTCGCTCCTACCCTCGACCGTTCACTGGCTGGGCTCCTCTCAAGAAGATGGCAGAAGTTGGATTTTGCTGGCTTCTGGACGCGACTGTCTCGGGAACATCTTTGTCAAACTCGACGCGGTATTTGGGTTTGCAGCTTGATTAACTTAATAGGACATTGAAGAGGGAGTCTGTGAGTTTCAGTTGGGCGCAAATGGAATAAAACGTGAAGCTTATCTCATCTCTGTATACTTTCTTTGCAGTTCCGAGTTGCCTGGATTCTTCTGCCAAACCAGAGTCCCCTGTTTTCGCAGCCCAGCGTCGTCATATCTACCGAGCCACATGGAGGTAATGCGCAAGCCTCCTTCACTGAAAGATAAAGCGAATAGCAATCTCGTGCATAAAATGACAGTATTCCTTAAATGAGAAACTGCTAACATTGCGGAAAATTTTCAACTACATTTCTTTACGGTGCACTCCTAGCGATGTGCCCAATACATATTGTTTTAGCACCTAACATCTTCTATAGTACAATCGCTCTTCTATTCCATCGATATGTTCTTCAGAAGGTATGTTTGCCATAAGTAATAATTTGTGACTGTAAAACGATATAAATATTGCTACTTTTAAGTCGTCAGATTAAGGGAAAAAAATCTAATCACAAGACCGAAGCTAAAATAAGGATTACCTTGCAGTTTTACCTTGGTTTCCCAACGATTTCAGGGAATAAAGTGAATGTACTGAAAGTCGAATATTACCATGTCGTTAGGATGGTATATATCAACTACAACTTGAGCATTGATGTGCAATGTGGTACTGGAGTGAATACTCGTTGAGATACCTCCTCAAAGAGAACAAACGACTTGATACGACGATGTCATTCAGTATCATGTAACACTACATTAAGGACCCATTATTACATTTAAGGACATACCTAAAAGCAGCAATATGTGGGACAATCGATTCAGATAAAAGTCAATTCCAGGGAGAAAAAAAGATATAAAAATATACCCGTTTCGATAGAGTTAGTGTGCTTCACTGGTACACGTTGTCACTCTTGATTTCACGTGCCCAGTTCCTTCGACCCCACCAAAGATCACCAGCCTCACTACTGTCGGCCCTCGGAGCATCGCGGTCAGCTGGGACCCTCCACTGTTCCCGAATGGACCGATCCTCTCCTACGCTCTGTACCTCGTGGAACAGCCCAGTGGATTTACAACTGTCAAGGTGCGTCCTCTTTATGCCACTGAACACAAATTGAAACGAGGATAGCAGATTTTGGTTACCGGAACTTCATTAACAACTTTCTCGGCACACAATAAACCGCTATGGTCTCCGTGCACTCCAATTTGTCAACAGCACTCGTAAACTTAAGTGCAGCGACTCGACGTGAAAGCAAAACCAGTTTGTGTTGCTTGAGAGAATCTGCCTAAGTGATTTCATCTCAATGGTTTGCAATGACCGTGTACAATGGTCCGCACTTAAATATCTGCTGACAGTGCAGCGTAGCGACTCAAATTAAGATCGGGAGCGATCGTTCAAGCATTTCACTTTAAAGCAGCTTTTCAAGTGTGCAATATGTCTCTGACTCTCTCACTTATAGTCTCTGTACTATTACTATTTAATTTCAAACCATGATGTCCAGTTATCTTGATTTTATGACCGGTGAGTTGCGTTTTGAAGGAATGTGTCACAACAATAAATGCAAAGTTCCGGAATGCCCAGCGAAGTTCTGCAAAATCAAAATATCTGCCGAGGATTTTCTTCGCAGTATATGTGCTTTTCATAGGACGTCTGCGTCACTCCGACGATATTTAATTCTCGAGATGCCTGTTCTGATAAGTAACCCAGCGTTCTTAACTTAGTCGTATCGCTATTTCAGGACGTTTCGGACGTGTCCGGTGGCCTGTACTTCATGTTCAGTGGCCTCCGACCGGAAGTTCTGTACACAGTGTCGGTGGCTACCAACAACAACCTCGGTATGGGACCGGCTGACAAGCGCAACATCACGACGCCACCACAGAGCGTCAGCAACAGTAAGTACAGAGCAGCGTTCCTTTAACGTTTCCGCAGAACCAAGCTTTTAGTGTGCTAAACCGACAATATGCACACAATTGCAGTAAGGTGAAAAGGCGGATGTGTTGAAATGGATGCACACTGGAAAAATCAGAACCAGACTGATAGAGCACACACAAAAAACTTGCACTCTGTCTTTTTTCTGCATGCTCTCCATAGTTCTCGCACTTATTATCAGATAGGCACAGAACTAACCGATGTCGCTATCCCCATTTTTTTAGTAGGGCGTGGGGGGTGGGGACATGTTACAACTTCTGAACGTGTTTTACTCAATGTTTGTCTTTTCAAAGCTTGCTTTTTTACGAGGCACTTGGCCGCACGAGTGGCGCTGCGGAGTAATTTTCGCAATCGCTGTGTATGTGTATATTTTGCTTGCCTTGTGAAGCATAAAAAGTAATATTGACTCGAAGGTACCCTAGAACACTTTTTTAAAGTAACCATGGAATGAATTCACTGGAAGAGCTTATTGCCTTACAAATTTCATGCCGCAAAAATTTCAAGAATTCGTCCAGTACGAGCGGAGTCACAAAGATTTGTCGCACGCTGAAATCGCATTCTTTCTTCTCTCGTCCCGATGAAAGCGCTGGAAGCAAAGCACAAAGAGATGGCAGAGGTAAAGAAAATACGTCACGTGCGCCTCGTGACCCTGAGCACTTTCTTATTTTTTTCGAATACGCGTTTTTTTTTTCAGTGCGATCACGCGCACACGCGTGGACAAGTCACGGCATCCCGCGGCGATCTCTGTAACGAGCGAGTGCGCCGTGTTCAAATCAGCCAATGACTGACATATAGCCTTCTAAGAGTGATGTTTGAGCCCCTTCTGTCGTTTCTTGAGAGAACAGAACGCAATCTTCAGCTGACCTTGATAATTTATTGCGCTGTAACATTTGGCTCACATGTTTTCGGGAGCCTCTACTACCGATTGGCAGCGTTTTCTGACCATGCTCAAAAAGGGTTGCAGGGCCCCTTCAAGGGGTGATAAAAGCACGCAAGAAATATAGTAAACTGTAAATAGAGACAAAGTGTTTGCAGCTAGCCATTATTTCATTGTAGGAACCTCAACTGGGGCTGTCATTATCTGGGCGAATCGGCGGCACAGAGAAGCTATATTTGGAGATCTGAAAATGAAACGCTTCAGAGGCTTTCGATCAAGCTCCTAATCATAGTTTTTGTTGCTGGGATGTTCGTAACACAAATACTCAGCATGGAACGTATTCTGCCACCATAGTCACGATATTTACACGAGACTAAGCTTAAGTCTGAAGTTGTACATAACTATCATGCGCCAACCATCAAGGTTGTGCTTCCAGTCTGTTGTTTCCATCCTTCAGAATTACGGTCTAAGTAGGTTTTGGGTTTGAGCAAAAGCTGAGCTACAGGAAATCAGTGAATATTTATAGTATTAGCTTGTTTAACTTCTATTTGAGTGTGAGTTGAGCTTACAGATTTTTTAGTGTCTACATCACAAAAAGCAATTGCCGTTCAGGCGTTGTGTAAAATGATACGAGTTTGCTTTCGTTATTACTTTCTCGGCAGCATTTTAAACTTTTAGAAAATATGCCTTGATTTACTTGTAAATCTCGCTCTCGTTTACGAATCCTGTGTGGATGGCATGCGTTTATCTTGCTTTAAAGATTACACAATGGCCTTCTGCAGTGATACCTATTCCTGAACCATTCCTCATCATCGCAACAAAATGGCAAGTGCTGAGACAAGGACTGAGCATCCTGGACCCACCGGTGGCAGAATTCTACACTCCATCACATTCAATTGAAATAACTGGTAGGTGCATTGTTTATATGGTCCTTTGGGCTCGCGAATCATTCTCGTTTTTCGGATATTAAGTACATGCTACCTTCTTTGTCATCAAGATTTGGGTTCTGCTACTGCACACCCAGGTCATCTGCATTATTCTAATTGCTGCCTTTACGCTTCACTTTTCCAAATGCTTGTTTAATCTAAAGAGCATCTCTTTTGGGGTCTGCCACAAGTCGGAGCTATTACTGATCGTGGTCATCTAGATGTTATTTGTGATGCTGACCCTGCGTTATAAGGTACGCCAATTGGTCAAAATTTCCGGAGACCTACGCTACAGTGTCTCATGATCATATCGTGGTTGCGGGATTCAAACCCCTAACAAATATTATATTACTACGCTGCACGTATGATGAAGTATATATATATACTGACGATTAGCTCTAAACATTGCATGTGATTACACGCACTTTTTTATTTGGCTTTGTTTAATAGAGTTGGTTGCATAAGGTTTCTCTGCAAAACATGTATGCAACTGCTCACAAATAGATCGCCCATCTTTCATCATCTCTCTTTCTTATTCTATCTGTGCTGTCCATGTTAACTGTTGCACCGATGCCTTCTCCTCGATTTTTGTTTTTCCCGCAGGCGTCGCCATGCACGTGTCTCAGAATGTGCTCTTCGTGGCCGACAGCTCGGGCACCATCTACCGCGTCGACCTGTCGGAAAAGTTTCGCTACAGCCCCATCTTGCACAACGGCTCTAGTCACCCCGGTCTTCTATCGGTAGATTGGTTGAATCAGCTGCTCTACATTCTCGAAGACGGCCAGGTGAGCACACGAGTACCGCTGGTGGATTTTTTGTTGAAGCCACTCTTCGACGCGTGTGCAGTTTTCAGGATTTGTCGCAGATTGATTCTTTTCAACGCTTTACAGGGTGGTACTGTAGCCTTACGTACTTTGATACTAGTTAGGGAGCCAAGAAATGTAAATTTGTTAAATTACCTTAGGATCTTATAATGAAGCGTATTGTGTTCATATTTAGCCAGCGGAAATAAATGCTTCGCCCTCCGCTGCAACTCTTTCTTTGGTGACAACGTGGATTTGACATTGAAACTTCTATATGTATCATCGGCGCTAATCAGTGTGATTTAGAAGAGACCTAGCTTTACGCAGCATTGGCACACACTTCGGCGCAAACGTTACGAAACAATGCAGTTTTATTATTTTTTTAAAGGCTCATGCTTTTACTGGGTGCAAATTCAGTTCGGCTCGCCTTCTCTGATAATAAACCTGACACTAAAAAATTTACTTCTTCGAGTGGCTTAAGCCATCTTCTTCTAGCAAAGAGCAAACTATCAAAAATTCAGCTTAAGGCATGCTATGCTGTATGTTCGCCGCGGATATATTGACCATTCGTAAATGGTGTCTCCTAGGCTCAGTTAGCTTTTTATTGACGCCTGGCATCTCGGGAGATGAAGGAGAAGGTTGTAAAAGGCTGATATCAGTGCCGTAATATACAGTCACACTGACTGCCGAATCAGCGTATGTCGTAGGAGGGTTAGGAATGACTGGCATGTGTCCTTTTATTTATTGGCTATCAGCACACATTAACGTAACTTGTCTTAACTGGGGATGGGTGAAGCTAACAATGCTGATTACATTGGGAGCAGCTTGTGTTTTACGATACCTGACCTTCTCGAGAAAGTTACGTTTACGTGAAACAGGTGGTCATATCACATAACTGTGAAAGAAAGCGCGTGCCCTACGGTTGTTCAAATGTATACGTATTTTTACCACAGATAACCAGGTGCAACTTCACTGGACAGGACTGCAGAACGGCCGTGTCGGGATTCGACAAAAGGCCTAGCGAAATGAAGGTTGATCCTTATAACGGGTATGTTGTCTAATCTCTTGCCTCTATTTCGACTGGAACTGTAATGTAACTAGATAAAATGACAAACTTACCAGCCACGCCAGTAAGGGTGGGGAAGGTGATAGGCTCGAATTGTGCTTTGTGCAAAGACAACACCCTTCCCCCACCCACCTATAACATTCTTGCAGTGACTCACATCAATTTCCTAGCCGTATATGAATGCGGGTGAAATAAAACAAAGTTTTCGGCAATTGAATCACGCTGTACAGAATGTGTCACAGTGAAATCAATATGGCATAAAGGACAATTTGAAGCCATCAATGTGATTCAATTCAATTCAATTCAATTTTTTACTTGCAAACTGTGAAACATTGAAAGTAGGCTCTAATATTGCCTAAATAACTATGTATATGTAAGCTTGCTGAGTCTTCATATTTGAATACAGTAATAGAAGGATGACATTATTAGGGATAATAATGCTGAGTAGTCTTTTGCGATCATCAATTTTGGTACCACCACATTAGCGGAAATTAACACGACTTTATTACTGTCGTTAGGAATGTAGTATCCTGCTAATATAAAGTTTCTGATATATATATCGGAAGAAAATAACCATAGAGTGATGGACACTTATTCATCCTGCAGCTACCTCTACTGGGTCCTCCAAAATGGCACCACCGGAGGCCTCTACCGTATCGACCTTGCGCGCATTGCGAAGAACGCCGCGGCGAGACGCGAGGCGCAGCTTCTGGTCAAGGACACCGACCTGAGGACGTTCGTGGTCGACTACAAGAACTACCGGCTACTGCTGCCCAAAAAGTCGCAGAACACCGTCGTGTCGGTGTCGCTGTCGGCTGGCGACGAGACCGACGTGCGCCGCAACTCGCAGCGTCACCAGTTCACCGACGTTCGCCGGTTAGACTCGCACGGCGGCAACCTCTACTGGACCACAGCGGCAGAAGCCTTCGGCGAGGAGTACCACGACAAGGGAGACAAGTTCTACCACAACAAGTACACCGTTGAAGGACAGCCGCTCGTCTACCTGGGCGTGTTTCATCTCCTTTCGCAGCCGTTCCCTGGTGAGCCAGATTTCGAATGTGCTGTTCACCTAAGTGGCACACTCCCCAACGTCTTATTGTTCAACAGTAAAATAGAAAGTGCGGCCTAAGAAAAAGCAGGGAGGTTAACCTGGTTAAGCTCAATTGCCTATAGCCAGCTTGCAGGAAGTATAAGTGTATGCATGGGTGATCATGTATCTTTTTACGCGAGCGAAAGGCATTAGCTTATTAGTAGTGGCAGTGGAGGTCTGGAGATGCAGTGTTGAAGTTTTTGTTTAGGCTTGGATATTCAAAACCATCTTTTTTCGGTCGAATGACCATTTGCGAGAGGTTGCTCTGCGACATCGCTGGCTAGCTTTTAAAGTAGTAGTTTCCAACAAATATTGATGTTTTGCGGTTTTTCGCGAAACAAATCGTTTGCTCTAAGTAAAATACATTGTGCGAAATACATTCGAAAGCTTGACATTTGTTAGGATCAAAAGCAATCTCCAAACAGTTGGAAGGTTGACTTGGGCGACTAGGGAGGCTTTTCAAGGTATACATGCAACACTACAGCGACGCAGGTTGAAAGATGAATATTCCTTTGTCTGCACACGCTGAGTTTTCAGCTGCCTGGCCCCCGGGAAGGCTTTATGCTCTCTCAAAGTAGTGTACCTAGTGCTCCAAATCCTTACCCCTTTTTTACTAAACCCAACTCACGCTCTAAGTGTATGACGACGTATCGTCGCCATGTTCCTAAAAGCTTCATGACGTCGTGAACTCATTAACGCTGTAGTTTTTGTCGATGTGGCCCTATCAAGTGTGAAGCCCACGGGACGGGTTTATGCTCTGCCATAGTAGAGTACGTAGTACTCCGAATCGTTGCCCAATTTTTCTAAACACAACTAACGTGGTCATGTTAACCACCATAAGGGAGATTCTTGGATCGGGACTGCTTTCTGCTTTCCCATAGTAAAATACGAGGTACTTTAAATTGTTAAACACTTTTTTAAACACACAAGTTACACCTCCAAAGTAAATCCAAAGAACCTCAATCTTGCCAGCAGCAAAGAAGGTTAAGCGAGTGGAAGTTACGCCTCCAAAGTAAAGCCAAGAATCCTCATTCTTGTCAGTGGCAAAGAAGGTTAGTGGGTAGCCAAAAAATGCAGTGTTTTTTGTTTTGCTCATACGCCTAACCAGTATTACACTCTATGCTGCCGGTTTAATGTGGGTAATATTCTGGGACAGCATGTACGGGACCTAAGCCTTGACGTTAAAAGTTTTTTTTTTAATATTCATGTCTAGGCAAATTCTACTCAGAGATGGCGTCTTGAGTACACGCAGGTTACTATTTTTGTGAACAATGATATTTTATTCTATAATTAGCCTGCCATCTAGACTAACAGACCAATACCACTTCATCTGCAAGAGGACACCACTTGAAGCGAGCATGTTTCTAAGACAAATCGGGGGCAAACCGGAACTTCTCCTCTACCGGTAATCTGTTACAAAGCCTCCCATTCTAGATTTTTTAAAATTTTAATCCTCTTTGGTCTGTCGTGAACTGAAGAATCATATTTTCCCACCAGGACAGCTGCATGAACCTCTTTTATAGCAGAGCAAAAGTTATTCTGAATCATTTACATTTCTTCTCAAAATATTTTGCGAAGAATGTCAAAATAAGATTTTCATTGTTACCACTTCAAGCGCACTACAATTTCACGGCACAAGAAACAGAGACATATTATTGTGTAAAAGCAATTAGGCGCACAGCTGGTGAACGTAGATAAGAAAGCTTTTCAGCGCAGAGATTTGAGCTAGTTGGTGAGTGTAGAACTTGAGCATCTCGTCAAGCGCAGAACGAAAAAACAACCAATAAAAAAGACACGCAAACAGAATAGGCATCATCATCATCAGCATCATCATCACCATCATCAGCCAGACTACGCCTACTGCAGGGTCAAGGCCTCTTCCATGATCTGGGAATCAACCCGGTCTTGCGCTTTCCTTTGCCACGCAGTTACCTATGAACGTTTCAATCTTGTCGGCCCACAAACAAGATGGGCGGCTAGACATCGAGTGAAAATTTACTGACATAACACGATGAAAATATAGAGACATGCGTTAAACCCACAAATAGGTGCAGATGGTGCTACTAACGCAGATATCTGCGATGTCGCTTCATATACGCTGTTTCCTTCGCGTTCAAAGCCAGAGAAGGTGTGTTCATGCATTTATCAGCTTCTACATATACTGATCATCCATTATGCCCCACACATTTCGCGAATTTTTCGACCAGCACAAATGCGCAAGATACGTGTGTCTTTGCAGGTGCACGAGTTTTACAGAAAAGAAAGACGACAGGACTGTGTGCTACAGGATAGATATTTCAGCCTGTTTCGATACCGTAACAACTGTTCACTTATTTTTAATGGTAATACCTGCTGGAGTTTCATTCACATCCTAAAACTATGACATGATTATGAGAGACGGCGTATAGTGGAGGGCTCCGGAAATTTCAACAATCTGGTGTTCTTAAGCGTGCACTGACATCGAGCAGTACACTGGTTTTTGCCACGTCACGTCCATCTAAATGCGACCGCCTTGGCTGCAGGATCAAAGCCGTAACTTTTGGGTCAGCAGCCGAGTACCCCAACACCCTACTCCGCTGTGGCGGACCACTTACTTATGTGCTCGAAATCGTGGTGGTTGCCGGTGCATCCTGATACAACAGTACGCTCGCAAGACGACGTGGTTTGGCCGGAAGGAGGCCGGAGGCCGCTCCCACCTCTGGTGTAATACGATCCGTGTGGTCCGCGGAGCCCAGTATGCGAGCGACAGGCTGGCGCCGGTGGGGCAGTCCCTCTTCTCACTGACACTTTAATGGCGCTCTGGAAATGGTTGTCCCTCTTGTCTCGCGTCTCGCCTCCACGTTGGTCACCTTCACGTAAGAATATATGGGTATACCACAGATGTCCGACCTTCAAGACCGAGGCCGCCGCATTTCGCTGGAGGTTTGCTAGACGGTAGCATTGCTAGACGCTCGTGTACTAAATTTAGGTGCAAGTCCCTCAGGTTGTTGAAATTTCCGAAGCCCTCCACTAAGGTACCCCTCATAATCGTATTGTGTTTTGTGACTGAAACGCTAACGATTATGGTGACTTGAACTTGGAGGTTTGCATCGAAAGGGAAAGTCAAATCTATCGACAAAATGGAGATTTGTTATATTTGTTAAGTGTTCCTGCTTCAAGAATATCAACTTGCTCCTTATCCCCGAGTGCCTTTTACGCGGAAATTGTTCGTAAAAGAAGGCTATGACCAATTCTGATGATGGAGTCACTGTTAGCGCCTAACCATTGTTGAAGTACACTGCCATAAGAACTAAGGGAACCGTGAACTCAACTAAGGCACTAACGCTTTCGCACGTAACCTCTTCCGCGCTGAATTATGTTATTTTTGCGAAGGTTACTAACGAATAACCCGTTATGCTCTCTATCTTAATGCTGCCTCAGACCACGAGGACACAAGGTAAGCCAGCTGATAGCCATCTGAGGAAACACCCTAGGTTTTAAAACGATGTGTGAGCTGTTCGCTCCTGTGTTGTGCGTCACTGTGTTCAATGTCTTGTGTGCGTACGTGTGTGTGTGTGTGTGTGTGTGTGTGTGTGTGTGTGTGTGTGTGTGTGTGTGTGTGTGTGTGTGTGTGTGTGATAGAGAGGGAGAGAGACAGAGAGGTCACAATGCGTGCCCGAACCTCTGATTTTTGCCTTCTCAGTTCCTGTCAACCCAGTTCAAGGAGTACAAGCCATCTTCAAGGAGGACCTAGCTAAGATTGCTTGGGAAAAACCACGGCTTCTTGGGGGACTGGGTAAGTATTTAATGCTTGCATTTGGAATTCCCCCTATGCTCTATTCTACCAGCCCCTCAATGGGCGTGTGGACAACATTCTTTTCTTCTTTAGTAGTGGATTCTTCTTCAGTAGTAGTGGAAAGTAGTACCTATCTTTGAAGCGTGCTCTTGACTGAATTTGAAAATTTTATTTGAGTTAGCTTATTGGACAAGCGTAATGTGGTTTGCCTAGTCAGTACTATAAGCATCTGCTCCTTGTTTGTTTAGAATGGCATAGTTGGTGCCATCCGTTTTCTAAGGTTTTCTATTTTGGTTAAGTTTATTTCAAACATATTAATTTCTGCAGTTGTGTTAAATGTAGTGCAACAATACTTACCAAAAAAGATACGCATTATCTGGTATTACCTTAGTTTTTTATACGGTATAATGCCGGAAAAATGAATTATGTGTATCAATAGTAAACTACAGCAAATACAATTCAATACACGGGGCTCTTTAGGCATGCTATAGTGCTTAAACGAATGCTAGGATAAACCTGAAGGCCTAAGGAATCATCTGCGCTGCCCAGACACACGGTATATTTTTAATGGACAATAGGACTACAATCAAAGCGTGTCAGTGATAATTTTTTGTGTATTGCACCGGATATGGTTGCACAGTGGTGATTTGCAATAATGAAGAAACTATATGACGTTATTTGCAAGTTCGAATGGTCGGGTTCGTTTCTGCGCTGTGTTTTCAATGATTCTGCTTCCAAGGACCTAGTATCCCTACATTTTAATCACCTAGCTCGGCTCCAACTTCCTTGATAAGACTTGGCTGCGAGGCATGAGTGCAGCGCTCATGCAGTTATTGCGTCAATGATTTCCTATCTCTGATATATGTAACTGATGTTCTGCATGCTGGAACGAACTCATGGCAGCACTTGCTCACCATATTATGCATGTGTTGTAAGCATGGTTGATTTGTTCGATAATGGGTGGTATTTGACGATTCTATTTCAGTAATGAAATCGGTGCTACGGTATAAAGGATGCATTTTAACGGGGTGCAATGAGTGCGGCGCAGTAATGAAGTTATCAGATGGGGAAGGATATGAGAAAGCCGACTGACCTTTAGTCTAAACAAAAACCTAAATGTTGGCCACACACTTGGGAACCGCTATCCACTACTGTTAGTGCTCTACCGCTTCTGAGGGTGTTAGCGTTTCGCAGAGATGACCGTAGAAAACTAAAAATAGAATAGAAAACACAAGACATTATGCACGGATGGTTAAAAAATGAAAAAGGAAACTTGTATTTAATCTAGAAAACTTTGTTACAATATTAATCGCACAACCGCTCAAAACCGCACAACGCAGAACCGCTCAAGTCGCTCGCAATTCGAATACTCCTCTTCACTCGCTGTTCTCACTCCGTCTACGGTTCTTCCCGCGCTTCTTGCTCTGATTTTCCGACCACAGGGTCGAGCACACGTATACGCGCGCAATGGTTCCACGAGGTCAGAGGGTGCGGTCTTTCGCTTAGCCATTCGGAGAAGCAGTGTCCAACGTCCTGCAAGCCACGAATGCGCAAAATTTCGTGTTTTCCCCCTCTTTCATTTGAACCAGCAACGTGCAATAAAACGGGGCTGCCTCCTTTGTCTCGACCCAGCGTTCGCATCCCTGGGAGGCTCGCTGATCGCAGCTGCCAGTAAACAAGGAGGAGGGCCCCTTCACGTGGCCAACGTACAATCGCACGACACAGCAGACTCACAAAAAAAAAGAAGGAACAAAACAAAACTTTGAAGACGGGGAGCAGTCACGTAGACTACATAGACTGGACTGGTTGATGCTTTCTATCGTGCTGGAATGCCCCGTGTATTAATTGTGCCGTGAACTAAACTTTTGACCACTCTCGCAGGCGCCGGCTCCTGGCAGGAGTGGCTGTACGAGGTCCGCATGCAGGACCAGTCAACGCAGGTGTACATCTACGCGATGAACATCAGTGACACCACGACCACGGTGCGCAACCTGAGACCCGACACCGCCTATTCGGTCAAAGTGCGCGCCTACAGCGCCGGCGGAAGGGGACCCTGGTCCGTGGACTTCGTGGGACGCACACTACGCAAACGTGAGGGCACCAGAAGGATGATCGCGTCACTCACGTCAATTAGTTAATCAATGAAATTATTCACGAAACGCATTAACAATTTTCGTTGCTTTTTTCACCACACCGTCGTACATGGTACTTTAAAAGCTAGGTGCAAACTGTAGCTTTTAAAGTTTTGAACGAAGGTATGCGCTGTACATGTGTGCTTCAAATGACTCTTAACTTCGTAGCCCTTAATACATGTAGTAGAAACAAAAGACAAAAACGAAGGGCAGAGTTACTGACGTGCCCTGATAAACAGAGTTAAGACGTCATGGTTCTCTTAAAGTAAATTCTATAAGCACTTTCATTACCGTATTACTGAGCTAACGCATTACTTAGCCTTCACTAGGTGTGCATGTGCTTCTGCCCATCTCTCTCTTTTCGCCCCTTTGTTCCTTCTCCCAGTGCGGGATAGCAAACCAGATCTGCATCTGGTTAATTTCCTATAGCCTTACCTTGCATCACTCTGTCTTTCCCTTCTCTCTTCAGTTTTTTACGGAAATTAACAGTATGTTAGGATTTAAAAGGCAGCGTACTGCGCTTGTACGCTGCCGTTTCATGTAACAGCTTCACTTGAAGGATGACCCCGTGTGTTTATCTAAATAGCCTCAAAGCAAGGCTTCCCCTACATGTTATGGAGCGCCAACGAAGCCCTGCTCAAGTCTGACATCGTGGGCGACAGCGTGCAGCCTCTGATCCATTTAAGCAGCCTCAACGGAGCTTACATTACAGGTGGGCACGCAAATACTTTTTTTTCTAAGCCCGTCGTTTTAAACTCATGTAAATAACGTCAGAAGCGTCACTGCCGTGTTGAAAAGTACTTTCGAGCTTAATGGCAAAGCACCCTAACCAGTGGGTTTGCTTCATAGTAGTCCAACTGCTAATGCATTTAAAAGAGCCTCATTGCTGTTAAGCTCGCCTTGATTTGAGCATTAACGTGTGAAACGTAGGTGTGCTTCTGTGTTGATTCGGGTGTACGATGCTTCAGAGAATGTGCCGATGAAATGAAATTGCTTTTAGACGCATTGGCCTGATCTTAAAAATGGCCCTAGCCCTAACCTTTGTTCGTTTTAACAAAAAATAAAACACTTTGGTGGTTGCAAGGGGTTTTTCGGGTTTTACCCTGCTTATTACGTAAAAGTTAATTATTAGTGGTCGTCAGCCTCGGTAGAGCAATGGCTGTGGTGTCCGGCCGCTGACCCGAAGGTCATGGGTTCGATCCTGGCCGCGAAGGTCGCCTTTCAATAGATGCTAAATGGTAGAGGCCCGTGTACTGTGTGATGTCTATGCACGTTTAGGAAGACTAGAGGGTCAAACTTTGCGGAGCCCTCCACTAGGGTGTCTTTCAAAATCATATTGTGATTCTGTGACGTAAAACTCCGGAAATTATTACTATAATATTATAAATAGGTAAGTAATAGTTGTCATGGCGTTCCTTTGCTCTCGCATTATTTTGTAATTGTGTTCACTGCCCTTTGAAGAATAATTATTATATATCTTCTCTTCATGACGTCAAACGATTCTGCTTACTTTTTTTTCAGATATCGCTTGGTATCAGAACCAGCTCTTTCTGAACACAAACACCTCGACGGTATACACCTACAACGTGTCGTCTCATTTCTCCCTGGAGCGACTGCCCAACATAAGCCATGCGGCTGCTGTGGCAGTCGACTGGTTGGCACCGAAACTGTACTGGTCGAGTCCGCTCCGGCAAATGGTGAGGCAACTGGTTTGAATATCGCCCACGCGAAGATCAGCTCGACGTTACGATAGTATTTTTCAGGTGCGAAGCAGCTTTTGCTCGGGGCTGTGTCTGTCCCTCGGCGGCCGTCCGCCTCCCCCACTACGCATGCGCCAACTCACCCCATCTCCTCGCGTGAGCGCGAGTTGGTGAGGAGATCCTCTCCTCACGTGAGTGCGAGGAGGTTGGGTGGAGGAGGTGGCAGAGCGCTGCCTCCAATTCGTTTATCATCTCCCGTCTGTCTCTCCAGCACAGCTGTGCGCTATATAATGCTACGCGTGCTCACTCTGTTGCACTCTGCCCGCATCATTGGCTGTTCACTTTTCGGCACACACACGGTAATGCGTACAAATGGGTGGAGGATAAAATAAGCGGTTCAGAACACATACAGAATTCCACACATAATGAAACATACACAGAAACATACACATGAAAACAAAAGTGAACGCCAGAGCTGCTTCTTATCTTCACGTGGTTCCCATTAGTGGAAGATGGTGTAACTTTTTTTGCATGCTGAATGGAAGTTACGGGGTTATGAAGGCTGCACGTCAACGTTCCTATCTACAGTGCGACTTTTGCAAAAAAAAAAAAAAAACATTAGAAGTGTATGGCAGCCCGTTCTCGTAAAAATATTTGTCGAAATTTAGCTTCGTTTGTGCTTGCGGGACGCAAAAAAAAAGTACAACAATATGCTATTGACGTGTACTTTAATACTTGGCACTTACTTGAAACTGAAGCTGCGGGCCGAAATACGGGTTATCAACAGATATCCCTTTTTTCGTTTATTTACTTTTCCGGTTTCTTTGCTATCTCCTTGAGTATTGTCTGCTACTGCATGTATACTGTAGGTTGAACATCTACAGATAGTTTTGCTGCAGCTATACCTTCTATTGATTTCTCACACTTTTTACAGCAGTTTTTGACATGTAGTGATACGCTGCTCCTGACTTACGTTAAAGAATACAGCGGGACTTCTTGAACGTAAGGAACTGGCAGCTGTGGTACTTTACCTCGAACACACCAACAGGTGTGTGCAGGTTTTTCCTGTACTGTTTGAAGCTCTAACTATTTGTGTGTGAAAAGATTCCATGCTGTATTTGACACTGTTCTGCACCTTCGCCTCGCAGATATCCCGTTCCAACCTGGACGGCACTCACCCCGAGGCGCTTCCTTTTTTAACGATGGCTCAAGAGATAGCCGTCGACTCGCTGGCCGGCTATCTCTACTGGGCTACTTCGCACAGCGTGGAATGCTCCCGCCTCAACGGCGACGACAGGCTTTCTTTCTTTCAAACTGGACTCTTCTCCGGCAAGCAAGGTGAGCTTCCGGGAGAGTGTAACCTGACTTGCATGAAAACGCTGCATGGAAAACGCTACTACATTTATGCGTGCTATGCAAGCGAAAAGACTTAGCTTAGTCAATATAAGTCTGCGCCGTGTTGCAAGATATATACCGCGTTCTGCACCCAAGAAAAATTGTTACGCAAGTGGTGTATATAACAGTGAGATCAAGATAATCTTGATGCTGATATAAAATTAGCGAGATGGCCTGGTCAGTAGTAAAAACCCTTAAAATAAAAAAACTTTGTTGATTTCGCACATACTTGTTTACTGCATCAGTTTAAAAAGTGTTATTACTGAAAAAACGCCCTATATTGAAGTCGTAGTCAATAAAACAAAATAATGCATGTGCATACTATTGGTTTTCACAGACAGTAATCGATTGTCCACGCCTTTTTATATCACACAATTTCTTGTATCACTCTAATTCGCAACCGTAGCCAGTACGTATTTCGAAACAAAGTGAACATTTTGATACATCGCGTAATTGCTGTGTCGATTTCAGTAATGGGGCTTACGCTCGACGTCGGCAACAGAAAGGTGTACTGGATGGTTCGGAGCTTCGAAGGGTCGAAGCTTTTTCAAGCCCCCATGAGAAAAGACGTCCAGGACAACCATATCGCCGGGAAGATCATTGGACCTCTAAGCGAAAGCGAAATGTGAGTGGAGGACAATGATTATGTTCGACTTTCGTTAAACTACCAGGTAGATGTTATAACGTTTGTTTAAAACATAAAGAACATCTGACTGTTTCTCAACACGCACATACATGAAGTTGCAAATACAATGACACGTTTATTTTTCCCGAATGACCGACATCAATGCTAGCGTAATCACCCGGCAGTTCATAGGCGCTTCAAGTTACGTGCGCAGCATATCTTGGTGATATCAAAGACTTGTTCGTAACATAGGAATGATTTGTAGTGATATATCTGTTTAACTTCGATGAATACCCAAATTTCGCATAGATTTCCAAAGGTAGGCCGTTTGTGAGAACTTTGTTTGCACTTCTTTTTCTAAGCTACCCCGCAACGAAATCTCCAATCTCAAAACCTGAATCACGGCCCTTGAACGTAAAACCATATGTCAAGGCAGCAAAGCTATTTCGACGATACACTCGGGTTGGTAGCCGCTTTTTGATTATTTTCTTTTCCATTTCAGGAAGGGGCCGGTGTGGTACTTCAGTGACCGGCTCTACTGGATCCACCAGGAGAAGCAGGCTGTCATTTCTAACATGCTCGGTCAGAGCGTTGCCACGCTCAAGGGCCTGGGTCTCTTCGAACTGAAGGCTTTGGCCGTGGTCGACTCATCACTGCAGCCTTATCCAGGCAAGATATCGTCTCTATTATTGTTTGCTTATACTTGAATTTCGGAGTAGATTCCATCTAATGCAGAGAGAAATTTGTTTTAAAAAATGCCGGGAGGTCGGGCTGATAAATATGTATTCCAGCTTTCTTCTCAGGTGGACGCATGTGCACAAGAGGCGCTTTTGCTTCGCATAAGCATACCACCAGCGTTTACAATCAATAGAGTAAATAACTTACGGAACTGGTATTTCGGGACATAGTTTGGTAAATAGTATATCGGTGATTTGCTGAATAATTTGTCGAATCAAGTTACCAGAAAAACGGCACAAAGCTGTTGTTTCTCCTATTAGCTTTTTTATTGCGTAACATCAGTTTGACGTCACTTGTCTACATAGAAGGCACACACCTTCTCCTACCCCAGCACAATTGCTCACAATATTCGGTAGCACCTGACCGTGTGATTTATCGCCGTCGACACACGGACACCATAATTTTTTTGTAAAAGCTTTTGCTAGGGCATGCAGTGGACGTAATGAAATCTTTAAAAACATCAGGCACCGTCTATATATTCTTGCCGTTCATTCAGGTGGCATGGACAAGGCTGTGGTGAACGTCGTTCCATCTCAAATTATGCCGGAGGGAATTCAGGTGATCGGCACGTGGGAAAACTTCACAATCATCTGGCCTTTGGAGACCGATGTGAACTACGGGAAAGTGCGGTATGAGCTCAGGATCAAGGACGACCGAGAGGTGTACACCCAGGTGAGTACGAAGGTGTCGATATGAAAGGCCCAAAACAGGCAAACAATTATTCGCAGTGTCACTCAGCTGATGTCGTGGCTGTGATGTCCGAGCTCTGTATTATCGACTTTTTTTTTTTTTTTGCGTACGCTAAGCACACTCTCCACTACATAGCTTCACCCCTAGAGATGAAGGCATTGCCGTCACGGGGCTTATCGGCTTGAAATGACGTGGCTAGTGTCCACGCCACTGTTCACTACAATAGTATTGCACTGAAACACTTGCATTGTTCACTGCAAGAGGTAAACAAATAGGAATTACGCGACATGACATCACGTAAGATAAAACGTCTGTCTGCAAGGCAACATGAAATGTGTCCCGAGCTACGATGAAGTTCGGAATACGGGATCAAGCAGGCAAGAACCGTGGTACGGACTTAAAAAAGAATGTTGTGGGCGTGTAAGGCTCGAGTTATATTGATTCCCATGTACACTCGGCCAAAACTTTAGCTATTGTGCGCAGCCGCCACTTTATTTTTTGTCTGTCAGCGCTATATTATGGAATCAAGTTACAAAAAATGGCTTCGCGGACATGTGATTGGTGGGCATACATTTTCCCTCATCTTTTATGAAACATACTTTTGTCGTATGGCAAAGATACACAGAAAAAACTGCCGCTCATGCACGATAGCTAAATATTTGGTCGATTGCACATTACGCTGCAGAAATATGCTGACCACGATATTTAAAGAAACACGTTGAAAAACCGAATATGCCAGAAAAATGAGTGGGCAACACTGTGTTTTTGCATATACCAATGTAGAGCCTGGAAATCAGAATAGTATCATGTTGATTTTGAATTTTACAAAAATACCCAGCCATTTTATTGAATCGCAAGGTTCCAAAAATTTTGCTTCTACCTGTACTTCACTACCTCTCTCTCTCTCTCTCTCTCTCTCTCTCTCTCTATATATATATTATATATATATATATATATATATATATATATATATATATATATATATATATATATATATATATATATATATATATAATTTCGTCATAGTATAATAGACAAGCAATGCGCGCTATGCACTGCTTCGCCACCTCGCTAGCGCTGAAGCCTCCGGTACCAATATTTTTTTCACCACTCAGGTGACGGAAGCAAATCGCTTCGTGTACCCATCGTCCAGTCTTCTGAGGCCTTACACTCGCCTGGAAATCGTAGTGAGGGCCTACACGTTCTGGGCGTCCTCGAGGCCGACGACTACAGTGATTTACTCTCCTATGTCGGGTGAGCGTGACGTCACTAAAGTAATTACTTTAACTTATTTTCTTTTTTCTAGTTTACTGAAGAACACAATTGAATTCGGAAAGAAAATTTACTCTTTTCTCGAATCGTCATCATTCTGTAGCTTCAGTTCACATTACGTTGTTTATATTTTCTACAACCTCAATTTATCACTTTTTTTTTCCTGCGTGCCACGTTGCTATGTCGCTTCCAAACTACATGCCACATACGACGTCCAGTAGGAACTGAAACACTTAGATTCACTTCTTGTATTGTCTATTTCATCAAAAGCCTAGCATTTCGATGCCTATCATACGCGTTCATGTTTGAGAAAACCGTAAGTTTCACAAACCCTGTTTTTTTTTTCGCTCTTAAGACAGGCTCGTCAGTACGGTGAAAAGCTGCGAGAACATATTTTTCAAAGCTGCAAAGCTGCAGTTGATTATGTGAAAGTGACTGTTTCGATAGAACGAGCGTGCAACGTGCTCTCTGCGTATCAGTGTACGATTTTATCGAATAGCAAAATCCATCATTTTTATTGTACTTTTGAGATACTGTAATTGAGAAGTAACAAAACGCACGGGGCAAGAAGATTTTAAAAACTTCGAAATATCTAGCGCCCCCTTTCTCTCCAGAATGACGCTTCTATTAGGTGCGTATATATTATTATACATGAAGTCAAGCGCAAAAATTTAAGAGTAGGTAATGCACGTACTTTCTTTCCCAGAGTCTTCAGCGTAATAATAGCGCGCGTTTTGTAATGACAGCGTAGCTATGCATAGGCAACGTCACCTTAAGGGGCCAGATTTGCAGCGACCTGAGGCAGTTAAAATGAGCGATTTCTTCAGTGATCCTCCTGCTAATGAAAATAAATATAGAAAACCGTGTCCCGTTTCAGTTCGTGAGTACCGTATAAGTCACAAATCTGCATGTGTTAAATCGAATGCCTGCAGCCAAAGGTTACTCTGCTAGCTCTAGTACCGCAGGGGAAGCGGCATTCAACTTTCTTTCTCTCTCGTGTGGAGTGGGAAAATTATGTACTCTTTAATTTCCTGTGTAGTGGAAAAAGCTTTTCTCTCTATCCGACATTTCGAGAGAGCAATATAACCCCTTAATAATAACCCCTTAATAGCTCCTGTGGCATACTCTTCCCGGTTCCATGAGTGGTTTCTTACTGTCATTTACACAGTACCGACGGAGCCCCTGCAACCGCGCGTATTCGTGAGCCACAAGTCATCGCCGCTGCGACAGCGCTCGGTCATAGAGGCCGAGTTCCGCTGGGCGAGGCCGCAGCACCCGAACGGCGTGATCGAGAGCCACCGCGTCAACTGCTGGTTCTTCAAGGACGGCAGCATCAGCACGCTGTGCCACAACGTGCGAGTCTCCGGTGACGCCCTGCACTACCGCATCACCGACCTGCTGCCCAACACCACGTACTACTTTCAGGTGAGTTCGACATCAGCCACGCACCGCTCTGGTCCCAATACGGTGAGCGGTGCGAGTGCATCCGTATTTTCTATGGTTCTGTCGTTTATCACAGCAAGTCAGCACCCTAGCCAGGAACATTGTCCGGGCACCCCCTTCCCAGTTTATCTCCCACGAAATTTTATGGTGGGAGGTGTTTTACCAGAAAAAATTGCAGGATATTCACGGACTGAATGATGATGACTGGGGCAAAGCGAACGTCTGTCCGTCCATCTAGTGAATGCCCCAAGTATTGCCATCTCGCATTTTTTCATCATATATTCATGATGTAGAAGTACCGCCATCCAGCGGACATTCCAAGGACCTACTATTAGGACTACTGCTACTACTACTACTACTACTACTACTACTACTACTACTACTACTACTATTACAACTACTACTACTACTACTACTACTGCTACTACTTCTACTGCTGCTGCTGCTACTACTACATATATCGCACACTCGCGACTCACGGCATAAGGAGCTTCGTCCCTAAAAACAATAATAACAGGGGTTTTCACAAATTGCCGAAGTCTCGAGCAGGTGCGTTAGTAATTGTTATTCTCACACACTTGCATGTATCTGCCTGTCGTGCGCGCAGGTCGGTGCGGCAACGCGCGCGGGCGAAGGTCCGATGAGCGACCCGGTGCAAATGAGCACGGCCCGCGAACACCCCGTGCCGAGACTGCTGCTCGCCAAGACCGACGCCGTCAAGCTGAGCGACGTAGACCTGCACCAGGAGAGGCTGCTATCCAGCAAGGCCAGCCGACCCGTGGCTCTGGCCTACTTGGGACAGGACGGGCGCGTCTTCTGGCTCGAAGAGAAAGGGCTACTCATGGCCTCAGCGCTCGACGGCTCCAACATTAGCGTGGTGAGCGCTCAGCCTCTGTTTCCTCGTAACTGATTTATTTATTTATTTATTTATTTATTTATTTATTTATTTATTTATTTATTTATTTATTTATTTATTTATTTATTTATTATACCCTCAGGGCCAGAGGCATTACAGAGGGGAGTGGTACAGAATAAAGGCATAACATGAGGTAGCATGGTTACAAAAAAACGTTGTGTACATAAAAAGGAAAAGGAAAGACAAAACAAATTAGTATTGTCGCAACAATGGGGTCAAACAAACACAGATTAAACATCAGATATTTCTGCATATACAATATTGGCTAAGGCAGCACGGAACAGTTGGTTATCGGTGATACCCGCAATTTCAGCGGGAAGGTGGTTCCATTCCCGGGACGAACGGGGCAAGAATGACTGAGTGGCAGATTTTGTATGATAATAGTTAATGCCAACCTTGTGACGGTGGTCAATGCGATGGGAAATGTATAGTGGTTGGGGTAAGAGTTCGTTGCGCAGGAAGGAATGATAATATATTTTATGTAGCATGGTTAACCGAAAAAGTTTCCTGCGTGATGATAAAGAGGGAAGGAAAAGGCTGCTTTTTTCATTTAAGATATGCTGGCAGTACGGTTATAGTTTGACAGGATAAAGCGAGCGGAATTATTTTGAACAAGCTCGAGAGAAGCGATTAGATTTTTTGGCTTGGATCCCATACTGATGCTGCGTACTCTAACTTGGGGCGTATTAAGGATTTGTAAAGAGATAATTTTAGTGACGATGGGGCTCTAGAGAAATTGCGGCGTAAATACCCTAACATGCTATTAGCGTTGTTGATGATATGTTCAATATGTGTTGACCAGCTGAGATTAGTTGTAATGTGCACTCCAAGGTACTTATATGATTATATGATTTGGGAAGTGATGTAGAAGTGGGGGCGATTTCTAACTGATACACACTAAAAAAAAATAAATGCAATAACCATGGTGTACACAGAGAAAGAAGAACACAGGAGAAGCGATCTTCCTTCTTTTTTTTTTGTTCCATGTGTGTGTAGGTGCATCGCTCTTTCTCAGTGGCGTAAATCCATAAAGACCACACGGGGTTCACACATCTTGCAACGGCAGCCATATTGTTCCTATACATATGGTTTATTTTTAATCATATGAAATACATATCTGCATTTACATGTAACAATAACAACAGCAATAAGCATTTCCGATGGAGGCGGAAATGTTGTAGGCCCGTGTACTCAGATTTGGGTGCACGTTAAAGAACCCCAGGTGGTCGAAATTTCCGGAGCCCTCCACTACGGCGTCTCTCATAATCAAATGGTGGTTTTGGGACGTTAAACCCCACAAATCAATCAATCAATCAACAACAGCAATAATAAATAATAATATTATAATGAACAAGCTTAAGCATCGGCATCTGGTCAGAAGAAAAAGCACTGAGTATTCAACAGCATATGAGCGACATCGCATGGTGAAGTTAGTTTCTAATAGCAAATCGTAGGCAGCCGCTAGCATTTTAGAAGGTGCATCATTCGGGTTGAACCACGCAATAATAATGATAGCACTTTTTGTGCATACTCATAAATGTTTTGCTCAGTACGTACAGGCTACAAGCACTTAGATTCCATCAAATGAAAATGCCTCGTGTTTCAGACTTATTTATATGGAAAATGCGATGGCGTTGACTGTCAAAAAGGTTCGAATGGGAAATTGAGAAGATAAATTTCAATGGGGGCACACACGCATTGGCTGTCCCCCCCCCCCTAGCCTGAACACATCGGAGAGGGGGTTCCTCACCCTAATTACCCCTCCCCCCATGATTCACGCCACTGCTCCTCCTCCCTTTCCTCTTAACTTTCTCTTTTATATTTCTCCCCTTGCCCCTGCCCCCCCCCCCCCCGAACAGGAAACAGGGTACAACCTGGTTAACGTTCCTGCCTTTCCCTCGCCTTCCCCCCTCTCTCTCTTGCTGTTGGTTTTTTCAGGCATGCTTTGCGTGTGATCGGACGGCTTTTCTGAAAACCGCTTGTGACGAAAAAAAAAGACAAGAGGTGAAACAAAAACTTGAGTGAAAAGCAAGCTCTCGCATATCGCAAGCTTTTAATGTGTTTCCTGCAGTAGCTATGAAAAAAAAACCGTGTCAGATTTATCTGTATAGGAATCGGTATAACGCGAAAGAGAAACGTGCCCTTACAGTCTGAGCGTTTATTGTGCATTGTTTCAGCAACAGCAACAACTTTCAAACTTAGGAACGGCAAGCAGCTGGAAACTTGCAGCGCACACCTCAATCAAAAAGCACGCATCAAATGAGCATACACAGGACGAGTGTAGACTAACAACTGTCACAACTCATCCTGCGTCGTGTGCTAGTAGCACACTCCTTTCGTAAACGCGGCCGTGGCCGCTTGCGAAGTGACCTTCACCCTCTCCCGAATTAGGGGCCTGATAAGCGCGCACGCAGGAGAGACCATGCTCCGTGGGACCGCGGGGGCGGCGCTTCGTGAGGGTGGCGACCTTGAGAGCACGTCGAGTGCGAGACTGTCGCGCCATCGCGCCACTGATAACGAAAACGCGCAAAAGTTTCGCAAACGGTGTATGACGTATATAAATGGCTTGACGTTGGCACTCCAGACAACTTACGCTTCGTGGCGTATTGGTCAGCGCTGCGCGCTTAGAATCGAGAAGTTGCTGGTTTGAATTCGTGCGAGAGATGTTATCCTTCCATTTTTTTTTGGAATTTCTTAATATATATTCTTCAACATCAATTCTGTAACGGAAGTATGTCCGCGAAGCCGTGGTGGACCCCGGCATAAAACACTTTCGGTTAAAAAGGAGTTCCTTGACGTATACTATAACAACCGCTGGAGATCATCTTACTCCGTGTTTTATTGGGCTGAACGAGACTTGCATGAGCCAAATTCGCATATCGGATTGCCCGTAGATGCGCCACTGTGTCTCAGTGACTATTGATTTCCCTTGCGAAGCACAAGGTCGCGGGATACATCCCTGGTCGAGGCAGTCATGATCACATAGGGGTAGAATGAATGCAAGGAAAAAAAAGGAGGATTTGGGTTTGCGTACGTCTTAAAAAAACAGGTTGAAAACATAATTCTAGAGCCCATGACTACAATACTTATTATATGGTAGCATTGTTAATTAGAAATACTAAACCTCATAACTCGTTCAAAATTTTGGGCAGTCGCGGTTTCACCCATTGTCTTTTTTGAACCAGGTGCACAGCCTTCCGTCAGCAGGTACAAGCCTAGCCATCGATTGGGTCGGTCGGTACCTGTACTGGACGGAGAACAAACGTTCCACTGGACAGAGTTCCATCATCGTTATGGACCTGAATCAAGGACACAACTTCTACAGCGTCCTGAACAGCAGCGAACACATAAACTCCGTGGAGGTCGACCCATTCACAAGGTCAGTAGATTGTGCGATGTGCCATAACGATTGAACCATGTGAAACTAAGATAAACTAGGTACGCATAGTTGTATGATCGCGATATGCTAAGAGTATAAGGGAGGCGGACTCATTAGTTTGTGATTACTTCTCATGCGACCGTGCACACGGCATGCACCAACAATTGAAAAGCAGCTAAACATTGAAGCTTTGTTTTCTTTAACAAATAAAGTATATTGCAGAATGCAGAATTTTAAATTAAATCGCCATTTCACTGTTTGTAGCCGTCCCGCATTGGCGAATAACACTTTTGTAGTCGAAGGTTTTTTTGCTTTGTTTGATTAATGCAGTAAAAGCAGCTGTAGGATTGTGTTGCATTGCGACTTTCGCATCCCCGATTACAGTACAATATTTTTTGACGCCAGGTCGCCGGTAGTTTTCTGCGGCAGTAGATGGATATTCTTCGAGCAATAGCTGTGGCGCATAAATTTTTGCATTGTCCTATAGGTTAGCACTTTCACAAAGGTGGTGCCATCTCGTAAGCCGCAGATGAAGGATGAAATAATCGTGAACCTAATTAACGCATGCTACTTTTCAGATCTATATATGTTAAAATAACGTCAAATTATTAGAGCGAATAACCTGGCATTTTCCGCATTAATATTTTGTCTCCTTCCATAACGCGAGGTCGTGATTGAATTTTCAAAATGTTTCTTTCTACTGATTCTCCTTGACCTCTGGCTTTGCCGCAGTAGATTTAATTATGCAGTGAAGCCAGCTTTAAAACAAAAAATAAAACGATTTTAGTTTGGAAAAATTTTAAGCATGATTAGTAGAAAGTAAGAAAGTGGCAGAAATTCATTAACGACGTCAATTTAACTTCCACAAATTGTGAGCTGAAGTTCCTGACTGACACAAGAGGCTTCATGGAAGAATATCTATGCATTCAGTGGTATATAAGTCTTCGACTTTCAGTTTTAGAAGAGGCAAACGCGTGAGGAGGAGACAGAAAATTAGGTGGGCAAATGAGATTAAGAAGATAAGGTTACAGCTTGACTTGTCACTTCGACCATAAAATAGCGAATGTGAAAAGCAGCTGGCAGATTGGTGATTTGTGGGGTTTAACGTCCCAAAACCAGCGTATTATTATGAGAGACGCCGTAGTGGAGGGCTCCGGAAATTTCGACCACATGTGGTTCTTCAACGTGCACCCAAGTCTGAGCACACGGGCCTACAACATTTCCGCCTCCATCGGAAATGCGGCCGCCGCAGCCGGGATTCGATCCAGCGACCTGCGGGTCAGCAGCCGAGTACCTTAGCCACTAGACTACCACGGCTGGGCAAGCAGCAGGCAGCGGAAAGCGACAATAACGAAAAAAAGAAAATCGTGCATGTGGCGAATGACAGCAAATAATCAAATAAATACTCTGAAATACAAAAACCAATGTGTAGATGCATGATACTAGTTAACCATCTAAACGATTAGTCATCATTCGTGAACAACATAACCAACACATTCGATGCAACGTATTAGCTTCGGAAAGTATGCACGAGCACTCGATTGTTGATTTTCACTTGCCGTTTCACCGGGAAGACGGTATAGTAATTTTTAGACTACAAAATTAGTACAGCGACAAGGTGCATGCCAAGTCTTTGTACACTGAACGATGCGACTGGCAGGTCATATACACATGTATAAGCAGGCGCTACAAGCTCGTGGCTTTTGTTATTGAGCTTTTCAAGTGGGCAAACAAAAGTGCTCGGCATTTCTCGAATATTGCTAGTAAATCCACATGCTCATATGGGAAGCACTGCTGATCTTTTCGTGAATTGCTGTTTGTGCACTTTGCGTGCATCAATCAATGAATCAATCAATGAATTTTATTCTCTTTTACAAACATACAAAGGAGCAGTGAACAAAAGCTATCTTCCGACAGCTTTACGAGCCTTCTGCCACCATCACACCACCCGCTCACTCATCACGAAGTCACACAGAACTGACGCATTCGAATCCTCATCTACAATCTTTTATTTTTTTCGTTCTTTCTTGTCACCCCAACTGCAGCACTCTCATCTACACTGTGACCAACGAGCGTGGAGCCACAACACTCATGGTGTGTGACACGGACGGTTCGAACCCACACCGTTTCTTCAAGAGGCTGCATGTGGCGAATAACGAGCTCTACCGGTCGCCGAGATTAAGAAAGCGCCGCGACCGGAGCTCCTGCACGTGCGACCCACATTCATCGGTGGGACAAGCGGTCACCCTGGATAGGTCGGTGAAGACTGACCCTCGGCTGCTGTGGGTAGACGGCGATCATGGTCACGTGTGGTCGGCCGACCTGGATGGCTGCAACTGCACCGTGATTGTCAACGCTACCGAGGTCAAGGACGTCGGTGAGAGCATCACCCATATAGCAATACTAATAATCGCTGGTGTTTCACGTCCCGAAATGATGATGTAATCATGAGGAACGCTGTATAGTGCAGGGCTCCGGAAATTGAAGCCATTTGGGGTTCTTTAATGTGAGCCTAAGTGTACGTACACAGGCTTTTTATCATACCACCTTCATCTAAAGGCGGTCCCTACGACCAGGATTTGATCACGTGACCATCAGGTTAGAATTCGAGAGACAGTAGGATTAGGCGTGTTGGTATAACATGATAAAGAGTGATTACCAGCGCAAACGACAGGGCAGGAGGGGACAGGAGATGAACCAAGAGAGAGCGCTGAACTGCCAATAATTTATTCCTTGCGAAGGTCTTCGCTTTTATACAGCCCTGTAGCCATAGCGGGCGAGTGGGCCACCCTGTGAGTAGAATTCATCCCACTTTAATAATTTGCTTCAGAAGAAAAGTGGACGCGCGCAGTCAGAAAAATAAAGCTTTCCAATGTGCTGATTATGAACGTAAGTCGCCTAAAAAGGTGCGGGGGGGTGGGGGTGGGGGGACGCAAATTCAGCCTTGTACATTGACATAATAGGGGGATATGGGCTACGAGGAAACTCGTAGCCCACTTGATGTCTGTATACCGATGTCTGTATAGGGGAATAAGCCGCGTTTTTTCTTTCGCCTATCAGGTTTGCCACCGACGTCTCTCACGGCTGACAAGTTTTTTATCTACTGGTCAAACTCGTCAACGAACAAGATTTACAGCTACGACAAATATAAGTTGGCAGTTGTTTCGGACGCGTCTCCCAGTGGCGCCAATGCACACGGTCAGCAGAAGCGACGTGTCCAGTCTGAAGCTGCTCGTGGAATCCGTGGAATACGAGCCATCGGCGACCACCTTCAACCTTATCCTGGTTCGTACTTGAATGCTTCCTTGTTGGCATTTGCTTCAATATTTTGCTTTTCTTCGCGTCACGCGTAGTTGCATGACGTCGTGAAAATGTTCCTGATTTTAAATATGTGTCTTGTGCATGATTAAGTAAGGGTAGAGTCTGCCTAATTTTATTTTCCTATGTCTACGTCATAACCAAGTGATAAATTAGGTATTTGTAACGTTTTATGTTACCTAGCAATGTGGATAGTTCTTCTGGGTTAACCTCCCTGTATCTTTCTTTTATTTATCTCCCTCTCTTGTAATCATTGTATATGAGGTGCGTAGTCAAGCGGGATATTTACAGCTGTGTTAAAAACCAAGTGTTTAGGAGGCAAATATATTGAATAGGCAGGACTCTGCTTCTCAGATGGCCCACTGAGACTGTACACAAAAATATTGGTGGGCAAATTAAATGTTGTGACTTCCACACTTTTCTCTTTTCTTGGTCTTCATTTTTTTATGCTTTTACAGACGCTGTGTGTTTATCGCCACCGGACAACGTTACCGCACCGACGCTCGTTTCGGCCTCTCCTCACCAGCTGGTCATCAAGCTACCTGAGCCCGTAAGACCATCTGTGTGCCAGAAGGTTTCAATGGCCTCTATCAAGTACACGCTGTTCTACGGCTTGATCACCCCAGACAATGTGTGGCAGTGCTCCGAGTCTCTCTACGGCTGCAGGACGCTGGTAAGAATGAATCAAAACATTCCATAATTTGTTTTGTGTCGACATTGTTATTTTCACAATCGCTGGGCTTACAGCTGAAGCTTTTATGGTTATAGACTATAAGCTTACGCCACTGGAGGTAGAAAAAAGCTAACAGATCTCTAATGATTGTGCAGGACGTTATGTGGCAACTTTCACAAGTAACGCTAGATAAAAAAAGGGCGTTTAGCGATGCCATCATTTTTCACCTCCTGCAACATATTGACACAAAACAACACAACACAATGACATAGAAATTGCATTGCGACACATGGCGCATACTGTGGCTACCCTTGCTTTCTACAAAGGCATGCTTGATTGCAGGATTCAGCGGGGAAATTTGGATAACAAAATATCTGGCTTCTGTGTTCTTGGCTCATCAAAATATTCCGGCTGATCCTGTTCTCTTGTTTGTTTGTGTTTTGCTTGCAGGAAACTTACAACACAACCGTTATTCTCAAGGACCTACTTCCTTTCACAAACTACACCGTCCGGGTAGCGATGAGCAACTTCTACAGCATTGGAATGTCTAGTCCTGGACCAAACGCAATCTTCCAGACAGCAGAAGGAGGTGAGTTGACGATGTCTTCCACGACAAACTCTACATCCCAGCCGCTAAGTATATCCGATTCCGAAACCACAACTGACTTTTCATTCATAGTTACCTCATACTTGAGCCCCTGATCATTTTCTCTTGTGCTTATTCCGAGTAACTATCGAGTAAGACCTGGTCATGTTATACAGTATAGCTAAAGAGAAGTTTATTTTAGACTCATGGGTGCCATAATTTTGGTCTGTTAAAGGAATGTTCTCTTATTTCTTTATGCCGTGACGCAAATTTAACAAAGTCAGGGAACTTGAAATGCCCCAACCCAACCGTTTCGATGTGTATATGTATAGCGTAGCACTGTTGGTTACCTGTCAAAGATACAAATTGGCAAATTAAGTAGCCCAGTATGGCAAAACTGAACCATGTTCGTAAAGTAGTCGGCAGGCTACCCAATGGCTGGACATTTCTACAGGAACAGAGTCTCATGGGCAAGTACAGGTGTTTGAACAATGGAACGAGCTTAACGATTGCAGTGAAGCCTGTTGTATTTTGCCGAGTACCATTACACTTCTTATCATGTATCATTCAATTTCTCGCGATGTCGATGCCTTTCCTTCAGCTCCTAGCGAACCGATCCTGGTCCAAGTGGAGGCGCTGACTCCCACTCGCATAGCGGTCCAGTGGCGTCCTCCGATCAAGCCCAATGGTCACCCACTATCGTACGAGGTGCGCTGGTACCGCGAAGGCAGCGTGCACAAGTGGCACTCCATGTCCTACCTGTCGGGCACGCCAACCGATGACCGCTCATTAAGCTACAGGATGCTGCTTAAGGACATGGTGCCTGGAACTAAGTACAGCATACTGGTAAGACAGTGTGTGCACCTATGGTTCTGCGTTTGTGTATAAGCAATGTATCCAGATCTTGCGCTGTAAGGAAGAAAAGAACAGTATAGTGAAATGAAAGTCAGTGGTTTAAACCAGTCTAGGCAATCAGCTAAGCTACCATATGCTGGAGAATGTGGCAGAGACAAAGAAATTATAAAGTTAGAAGTATATGAAAATAGAACTAGAAAGAAGAAATGGTGTGAGTCACACGCATTCAAAGTTATACTCTCAAAGTCAACATATCGCAACTGGTCTGTAAAGGTTGTGATGTTCGGGTGGGAGATAACTTAGGGATGACAAAACCACTTTTTTGACATTTAAAGGTGAAACAGACAAGAGTGGAAAATGGAAACGAGGCCTTCGATTGAGTGCCGAGGTTTCGGCAGTATGACTTATGAATGTTAATATATTGACAGCACTCTCTCTGGCCCGAGCGTTTAATTGCCACTGACACTTAGTTCCCCCGAGTCTATAACTTACTAGATTATTAATATGTACAGATAAATACATGGTTCTAATTAACTGCAAAGCAAACTGCTTAATGAGTATCTCATCACCCGAGAGGTTTAAGATACTGTGCTAAATATGTATGATTCTTTGTCTGGCAGCGCTTCGTTCGTCTTTGTCACTGTCTTCTGCTTCGCGCTGTTTTCACTTCATTGGTCTTATTCTTGTTGTGTCGTGAAGGTGAGAGCCTATTCACGGAAAGGGGACATGCACAGTGACAGTGAGTTGCTGTCCGTCACCACCTACGACTTGCCAGAAAACCTGACGTTGGCTCGCGTGACGGCGCGCGAAATGGACCTCACGTGGACGGCGCCGAGCGAACCCGTTATACTGAGCCACAGGGTTGAGTACCTCAAGGTAAGATTAGTACTTGAATCGTTTACAGGTTTGATTGATATGGTGAAATTGAGATCAAACGGTCTTTTTTTTTCACTTAGAGAATGCTATAGATGACTGGGCTTGGGCACGTTCGTGGCATGTAATTGTTGCTTTTAAGGCATATTCGACAAATGATGATACATGCAGTAATTTGCGGCCGTATGTGTGCAATCATGTGTGACTGTTTGTTAGAAGTGTGCTGTTGTTATAGCTCTTTTATGCTAGCTACCGAGATTAACTTCAAAAATCTCTCCTAAAAAGCATCAGCCAGAAATGCTTCCAATGTTAAAACGAAAAATAACTGTAGAAGCAGCGGGACATACCAGAAACGTAAGACATAATACCTCTTAGAAAATCGAAGGCTACACTTGTCACCTACCAAGAACGCACTCGCAATTAGCTTGGAGACATAAAAAGTGCACAAGGTTTCTTGCATGGGTTAGTTCGCTCATGAACTACGTGGCAGAATACCGCTGAGGAAAGGAACAGTGAAAACTCAGCACAGCGCTAAACCGTGTGTGTTCCTTTTTCCGTTTTTTTTTGCAAGTTTCTCCCACAATGTAAGAAGTACATCCACACGTACTCTTGGCCAAGAAGTGTCAGTGGGCTTCCGAACTTATTCTTCTCTTCTTACCTTCTTTTCGAGTTTAACACTACAATTCTAAGGGTACGTGTTTTCTTGTCTGGTTTTCTTTTTCAACCATCCTACGACGCGTACAGCCGAGCACCTCCGAGTGGCGGTACTTCACGAGCGAAGCGACGCAGGCGAACCGAACGTACATCTATCCGCTGCGCAAGCTCCTGCCCAGGACCCGTTACTCGCTGCGCATGGTGCTCACCTACCACAGTTCCCTCAATGACAGTTTCCCGTGGCCTCCTATCGGACACTTCGCCTTCCAGACGCTGGCCGACAGCCCCGGCAAGGCGACTCCTCCCGAGGTGTCACCCCTCGGCAAAGATCTCTACCAGGTTGGGTGGAGCGACGTGCCGCGCAACGGCGGTGACCTACTTCTCTATGAACTGCAAGTCAGGTGGGTGCACAGCCATTTGGTGTAGCGTTTAACGTAGTACACTTTAAGGAAATGCCCCGATCTCCCTCAATGGAATCGTGAGAAAACGTAAATGCATTTTTCACGCCAATAGAGGGTAACGTGGCCGTCAGACATTCGCTTTCACTGACTTATGCCATCGCCTTGAAAGGCGCCCAGCCAGCGAACGGTCAAGAGTGAGGAGCGAGTGGACGGGAGAGAGGGGTGCCAGCGTTCTCCGCTGGTCGTTGGCGTTCCACAGCGGTGTCTTGAGCACACATTTCTGGATGGACGGATGGATGCTATGAGCGTCTCCTTTATAATAGGGCGGTGACATGTGTGCCACCAGGATCGCAAGAATAAGGCGAGGATAAGCGTGTGTGCCCGCAGCTGTTGCTATGGGAGAGGGAGTGAGAGCGGAGAGATAACACATGTCAGCGCACGGAAACTGCAGCGGACAACGCCGGATGCCTTACATAGCTCGACTAAGAAATGATTTCACATTAAAAAGGAGTCATTTGACACTTTTGTTCTTAAGGCCTGATTGCCACGCGCATTGCTGTCTTTAAAGAGGCGCGTCATCTCTTTATGGCGGTAGTTATACTCTGTTCTCGAAGTCGTCTTTACCCACAAGAGAGTTTACGTGCCTCTGTTAATAAAAGACGTGGCAAGTCGGAAATAACTCAAAAGAGTGACAGGGGCTCTATTTTAACAGCTAAGCAGTTTAGGCTTCTGGTGCCACCATTTCGTCTGACCAGAGAACTAAGCTGCGTGCAACTCAAGAACTAGGCCAACGCGTGCTCTTCCACTTCTTCGTCTTAGGATTGGCTATAAATAAGTACAGTTTGCTCTTGACGAAAGACATCCGAGAAATTAGAATGATTGTGGTACAGTTTCCTGTAGCGCCTTGTGATTTGGCGGATGCTGTGGTCTGTGGTGCACCCCTTGTTTTGAGATTGCCACAATGGATTGCAATGTAGGCGCTTCTTCGATGCGTGTGCAATCCCGATGTAACGCATGGAGGCTTTATGCTCTTATAAAGTACTTCAAATTGGTAACCGCCCTTTCTAAACTCCCAGACTAGATGGTAAAATTTAATCCACTATACTAGCTTCTGCTTCAAGTGAAGTGAACGTGCCGAAATTTATTACCTTGGGACGGCTTTCTGACTCCATATAGTAGAGTACCTAGTACTCTAAATCTTTAAACACTTTCTTCTTATCACATAAAGGAAAAGAAAGTAAAAAGAAAGATGAAGCGAGAAAGGACTTAGCTAAGTAATTTCATGTTATAAAGGTTGTGATATTTCTGATCTTACTAGGTAAAAGTGTACTCATAAAATCACGCTATTTAGGACCTTGCTAATAATTTATATTGGCCTAAAGCTCCGCTATTTGTCCAGTCTCTCTACACTATACTGCAAGCTGCCCACTTTTTTTTTCCTTAGCGTGTACTGCGAGGCTTGCGTTTCAATAATTAAGTTTTTGAAACTCACTTGCGTTTCAATAATTGAGTTTTCGAAACTTGCTTCCTAGCGGTATTATTGCTAAACGCTGTGGCCCCTTTTCATCAGGTGCGTCACTACTAGCGAATCGTGGTGACAGTATATGCATAAAAAGAAAGCCCACATTCACGGGTTACATGTGATATAGCTTTTGTTAATTTGCACCTTTTTTTTTCTCACATGCCTCCTCAGTCATTTTTCTTTCTTCCTCCTTGGTTTTAGTTCGTGTCTCAGTGTATCTCTTGATCAGTTATCGCGAAAGACAATCGGCTCTGATGCAAGGTTTTAGTGACAACATAGCAGCCTTTCTCTGCACAGTTTTCCTCTTTCTGTCTTCACCTTATGTACAACTTACTGTGGAATCTAGCTGCCGATCGCGTACAGCCAACAAGCTAAACCAATAAAAGATGCTCTAATTTATGTGGATATACTAGTAAAACTAAACTGTCCATCTTGCGACCGGGATGCATATGCTGTAAAAGTTCACTTCTTTTGCATTGTATGCTTAAAACTTTCATCTTCGTCTCTGTGGTTTAAATTCGATAAGATACAGCTTCTTTCAACGCAACTATGGGGTCGGGAAATTCGGCAAGTGTGCAGTTAAGGATCGACGGCTGTATGTTTACTCAGCAGTCTAAACTCGGGCTGAAATCAGCCACGTGTACCGACGTCGAGGAATGGCGTGCCAAACGTCTTCACCAACTCTCTATTTATACCACGTCGAGGCACGGTCTGAAATAGTAAGCACTGCGATTGATCAGGCTCACCCGGGAACGTCGTGAATTTAAATGCACACTTGAAATCGTTGCATAACTACGAAGCCGGCCTCAAGAAACACCAACCACCACTTACAGCTAAAACGAGAACAAAATGACAGCTAATGTCGCCCCTTGAAAGAAGGCATTTTCCTTGTAACCATATCTGCATAATTTATGACGGGGGTGTGACGTCAGATTTCGAGAAATATTCCTATACTCATTTCCAAAATGACTGAAATCTGGGCGCCAATGTTGACATGTACGGTTTTTGTTTCGCAGGGTGCCTCACGAGAAAAAAAAATGCCTGAAACCAGTCGCGTCACTGTCGCTCACAAACCTATGTATTTATGTAAGAGAGAGGGAACATGAACTTTTATTTCGAACAAGCGCAGTGTGCCCCTTAGCTGCAGTGTACCCCAGTGCAGGGTAGAATACCGGATTCTAGTACCTGGTTAACCTCCCTGCCTTTATGTTTTCTCTTTTATCTCTCTCTACTTCAGGTTCGCGTCTGATAGCTTGGCCTTCCACTGCTCTTAGAAGTATGCACGTCTGCCTACAATTTAAAAAGATTTGAAAGAATCATGGGGATAAAACAGTCACGCGCGGGCCAAACACGCAGCGAAAGGTTCGTGGGCCACGTGATTGAGACCAATGAGCTAGAATGGTGGTGGTTTGGACTACTGGTTGGTCATGACGATTGCTATAGCGTGAACTCGGGACAAGGACGATAGGCACACGAAGACAAGTGCTCGTCTTTGTCCCGAGTTTCGCGATATAGCAAATCAGCAATCACTTTGCTAGAGCAGCTAATTAAGTTCACTGTACACGTTTTCAGGTCCGTGGACGCCGTTGCTGAGCAACGAACGGACGACAGCAGCTCGCCCACAGTCCCCAGCGAATCGGCTTGGGTCACGGTTCACAACAGCAGCGTGAACCATTGGATCATTCGAAACCTGCTGGCTGAGCACAAATACGTGTTCAGGGTTCGGGCTCTGAACGAGTACGGCGAAGGGAAGTTCAGCGAACCCAGCGAGCCGTTCGAACTGCCAGAGCCCGGAGGTTAGTGTCACTCTCTGTGCACGTCAAGCTTCAGCACGCTCTTCACGTGTGAACTAACAACAGTAAATGTTAGGGCCTGTACATGCGCTGTACAGCCACCACGCACATGGCGAGACACTTGGCGCACGCAAGCGGAGGGCAAAATAATCAATCAGCTAGAGTTACTGCATACGCTACCTACCTAAAGGTAGCATATATAGTAACCCTAGAATCAGCGACGCGCTTTCACCCTCCGCTTTAATACGGCAGGTGTCTCGGTACGTGCGGTGTGGCTGTGCTGGCAGCGCGTGTACAGGCCGCTTCTCAAGAGCTTCGCGCACGCTTGTGTTGTACGCCATGTGTTGGATCGCGTACGTTCTGTTCACGAGCGGGTTTTCGTAGCATTTTGTTGCAATAGATTTTAATTGATTTATTGGTGGGGTTTAATGTCCCAAAACCATCATATGTTTATGGAAGACGCCGTTGTGGAAGGCTCCGGAAATTGCGACCACCCAGGGTTCTTTAACGTGCATCTAAATATCAGCACACGGGCCTACAACATTTTCGCCTGCATCGAAAATGCTGCCGCCACAGCCGGGTTTGTGCAGTAGAAATCACGGGGCACTGTAGGGGCGTTTTTGTCGCCACCGTCACGTTGTCTTGGACAAAACTTCAGCTAACAATTCTATTTGAAAAAAAAAAAGAGTTTGTCATACCTATTTATTGGTCATATCGGGTGAGTATTCGAGCTACATAGGTATACTGATCTTCAGAACGGCATAAATGGGGCCGCAGATTGAGTTTTTGGGAATGGTCACTAGATGCCTCACGAAAAAAACACGCAAACATGCTTGGGCAACATTGGGCGACTACAAAATCGCTACTTCAGTCAAAAATATTAGAAAGTCACTTGTTGGCCTTTCCAGCCAAATTTTTTGTTGTTGTTGCGCTCTGCTGTCGATTACGGGTTAGCGCTCATGAACATAATTTTTCTTATAATGCGAAAAAAACATGTTTGGCACAGAGTTATTTGCGGGCCTTTCAGCGTGCATGAGTCTCCTGTATTCAAGTTCCTCTAAATTCAAATATTGTTTTAAGCCCACGCGTAATTGACCGTCTTTTCTCAATTTTCTTTTTTATCTTTTCAGCTGTTATCGACATTCCATACAGCCCTGTCAGAAGAATCATTATCTTCGCATTCCTCGGCATTCTGCTGTTTGCCAGCGTGCTCATATTGTCTGTCTACATTGGTAAGAGCTTCGAGGTCCACCTAAGCAGCAGTCATAATTACAGTAGACGAGTCAATGGCCACATCTTAATCGATTTTTTTCTTGTTCTTTCAGTTTACAAGAGGAGGCAGAAGGAAAAGAAAGTTCTTCAGGACAACGTTCGTGATCTCCGCCCGGACCTTGAACTGGCCACGCTGAGTGAACTGCCTCGCAACGGGAATTTCATTCAACAGAACAACGCTTTGTATGCACTTGGGTAAGACATGGTAAAAGTTTGGCATCATTGCGATAGCATTTACAGGGACTTGCCGTCGACGTCGTCGTTGGTGTGATGGTCCGTATAGAGTTCAAGTGCGGTAACAGCTTATCACGTCTCGTACGTGCCACACTTTTAAATCGAGGCAAAGCGGGCTGGAGACGTCATCATCCCTTGCGTGAATAGCAAGGGATGATGGGATAATGAGAAGTGCGACCAGATGGGGAAGAGAGAAAGGTGTTTACAGGAAGCATGCATCATCTATCTGCAGTGAATTAAAAGGCTGGGTGAATAAACATGGCGACTCACTCTGTAATCGCGGTTTCTGATCTCATTCCTAGGCCTCAGAGCATCGCATGCTGCAGTTCCCGTTATTTCAAAGAAGCGAGAGTTGATGCGTTTTCTAGCGTTTCCTTGCGTTCAAGAGTTTGTGTTATGCATCACGCTATCATACTGTTGCATCGCTCGAATGAATTACGTTCATGTTTGCTTGTACACAGACGACGCCATGCTCGTTAACTCACCCGAGGCGCAAGCCTTTATTGCTGTCTTGTGGGCTGGTAAAACTAAGTACCTCACATCGTACAGCTATTCGATACATAGCCATCGATACCAAGTTTTTTTTTTCCTTCTGGGTGAAACAAACAATTCCTTAAGAATTCACATCAGCAATACAGATATTTCCTCAGCAAAATTCGTATGATATTTATAGTTGCCTCGCTGTGGACATAGGAAGTTGGAAGGGGAAAAATTTCTCTCGAAATGTCTTAAAGCAGCAATGTGACTTATCGCGAAGGTCGCATTTCAGCATTAGCTCCCTGACGACGTTAAATTAGCGGTTATCTAGTTCAGGCACAACATACTGCTTCATGCCACGTACGCTGAGCGCTATAGTGTGCTGGTAGTAGTTTTTAGGATAGATTGCTACAAAATGTATCTCCGTCAACATTTAAATGCAATACACAAATACACGTTGTAATCGTACATCTGTATACAGGCAACAGTGTTTACTAATAGCACCGACGCATAAAAACTCGATTATTATTTTTCGCACGATGTCGGTTACACCATTATAAATGAGATGGCACTGATAGTGTTTTTGCCGTTATATTTTTTACTGTTTACATTACAAATGATTTCCAGTCGTTTCTATCATATGTTACTCATTGATAATTCTCTCATATGTTATTCTTCTTTTTCTTATTTTCCTAATCTGCAGAGATCTACCTTTGGATGAAGAGCTCGCTTCTGTGCCTCTCATCGAGAGGGATCAGATAATACTTACAAAGTTCCTGGGAAGTGGAGCCTTCGGCGAAGTCTACGAAGGAATTGCGCACAGCCTCGGAGGAGAAGGCATGCCACCAACCAAGGTTGCTGTTAAGGTTAGTGCCGCGTACTCCTAGTAACTTGCACTTTATTGATCAGATATGCATCGATACAGAGACAGTTAATTGATAAAAAAATACTTCTGATGTATATTTTTCTTTCACGCAGAACCTTCGCAAAGGTGCCACGGAGCAGGAAAAGGCTGAATTCTTGAAGGAAGCGAAGCTCATGAGGTTCGTGAAACGCGGAAAGCTTTGTTTGAACTTACGGTGCTCAAGCTATATGTTGTCATGTTTGGAACATGGCGTTTACTTAATCTCTGACTAAGTAATTCAGTTTTGTTGTTGTTTGTGTTCTTGTTGTTGTTGTTGTGGTTCATGGTGAGCTTATCACAAAACTCCAATTATATTTTTCAGCAACTTCAAGCACGAACACATATTGAGGTTACTCGGGATTTCCCTGGACAACAGCCTGCATTTCATTATACTCGAACTAATGGAAGGAGGAGACCTCCTGTCATACCTCAGAAGCAATCGACCAGTCGCGGTAAGAGCATACGATTGCATATTGAAGTTGTGGTTGCTGCAGTAATGCAGCAACCACGAAAATTTTACTGCAGTCGCTGCAGTAAAATTTTTGTCGCTGCAGTAATAATTTTTTCATTTAGCCGTGTGAGCAACATATATTGTTCACGTTAGCACGCACATCATTCAGTATTGCAACTGATGTAACAGAACACTTACTTACTGTTATTCTTAATACTGATCTTTTCTGTGTTTATTTAGGGAGAGAGGTCACCGTTGACACTGAACGACCTTCTCAGCATATGCGTAGACGTAGCCAAAGGCTGCAAGTATTTGGAAGACATGCACTTCGTGCACAGGCGAGTGTTGCACGACTTTCTTTCGACTCAATGCGTGGTTTGATTTGCTTTTCTTCGGCCTTATGAAAGTGTTTGTGGAAATCAAATAATACCTCTGTAACACAGCCACTTTCGACCGCGATCGTACCTTATCCCGATCTAGTTTCACAATTGCGATTGGCACTCTCACACAAGTTGCAGAAAGGAGCCCATCAATCTTGGGAAATTTAATCCTGATCGGGCTCGATCGTGATAAGCAGTGCACCGCGTGATAGGGGTATAATACGCTGCTCCTGCTAACATCCCTTACTTTGCATTGTAATGGAAGTCAGTGCATGTGAGAATTTGACGTACTGCTGCTTTAATATGAGGGACATTATTTGTGCAGTTTGTGTTACTGTGAATGTGTGATGCAGAGGCATAGCTTCTCCCTAGTACCAAAAGGAGCGGATGGTAGTTTGAATAAATGTCAAACCGAATTGTAGGATTCAAGAAAGATTAATCAGTCATCACTGTGATCAAAATGCGGAAGTTCAATTTGATGTAGTTTATTACTTTCAGTGGTATTTTTTTTACTAATGGCCCGTTCCAGCAAATATGCTCTATGACTAGAACAAAGTCCAGCCGGTAACTGCAGCTGCATAGTTTTCGCTTCACTTAACGTCTACCCCAACTCACTTCCATAAGAATGTTAGAACAGGGGAAAAATAAAGCCATCGCTCCCCAACCCTACCTCCCCCGTTCATTAAGGTATGGTACAAACTTTTTTTTAGGGTAAACATGGGTTGCATCTAAATTAGTTAAAACAGTTCAGAGGAGTGGTCGCAAATTGTGATTATATAGGCAGTGTGCCTTTTATGTCCCTTCACTTGTCGGCTACATTCGCACTTTGTAATGGTGCTATCGAAAAACAATCGATGTGCCTCCAGAAATAGCGAGAGCTTCGGCTAACGATGTGGCCGTTGGACATCACAGGGATCTTGCGGCGAGGAACTGTCTCGTGTCGAGCACGGACCCCGCCGAGCGCGTTGTGAAGATCGGCGACTTCGGGCTGGCACGAGACATCTACAAGCACGATTACTACCGCAAGGAGGGAGAAGGACTGCTACCCGTAAGATGGATGCCGCCGGAGTCGCTCGTGGATGGCGTCTTCACCAACCACTCGGATGTGTGGTCAGTGACAGAACTCAGCAATATTGCATCTACTGTATGTATAACAACGTGCACAGTCTAAGTATATATCAGGAAAACAAAACACGTGTCAGCGTACACCTTATAAGTCTACTGAGAAACTTATTTACACCGGACCATATATATGAAACACATTTTCGTTCATAGTTCGAGGTGTGAGACACGGTTGCATACTTGCACAAATTGACATGAGCTGTGACTATTTCTAAGTGTATTTACAATGGAAAGCACAGCACCGGCCAATATTACAGAAGAAATGCACACGGGACAGGTCTTTCCTATTTATTGTGTTCTGTAGACAAAATGCCTAAGTCTCAGAGTGAACTAGCTACGTAGCAATATTCTTCCATCATACCTATTCAACTGTACTACAAAGATATGTACTCTGAATATTACAAGAGTGATCATTGAAGAAATAATGGTGACAAACATGTGCTACATGTTGACGACACTATATCAGTAGTAGAGAGCATCAGAAACACTCATTCTAAATGTAAAAGAAGGAAGCAGGAAAGCTGGTCTTTTTCAGATTCTCTATCAGGTTTTCTGTGGGTCTTCTTCAGGTAAAATCTCAGATCCTCTTTTGAATATGTTTTACCTCTGCACAAGTTAAGAAGTTGGCCACCGGGAAAATGGATGCCAATACACACCCCTATTTAGAGAACTGATTGTTCGTCTTCTTATCTGTTGCAACTTTTTTTATGTCTACTCTACACAGGGCCTTTGGTGTCCTTCTGTGGGAAGTCATGACGATGGGCCAGCAGCCTTATCCAGCCAGAAATAATCTCGAAGTCCTCCACTATGTACGCGAGGGAGGGCGTCTTGACAATCCGGACAACTGCCCCGATGACCTGTAAGTAGCTAGAGTATGTTTTATCTCAACTGGGATTTACATTAGAAGTGTATGTATGACAAAAGAAAAAAGAAAACCGTAGACCACTTGCACCTGCCTATGTGCTCAAGCTGTTAAACCTTAGATGATTCTTGTTTTACTTATATCAGCCAGCGGTAAACCAGAAAGAAAGCAAGCTGATTTACAAATGATTAAAAATTTACGAGTAACAATAACTATAACCATTTATGTCATACATCTACAGCATGTACAAAATCTACAAATGCATGTGCAGAGAAATGTCACTGATGACTTTCGAAAAATGTGGCCTACATCTGTCAACAGCTCTCAGATATACCATACAAGGATGCACTGATATACCATACAAGGATGCACTCAACGTGTCTCACTGAGTTCATTCGATTTGTGGTATGAACTTGCAGTTAGTAGAGGCATTACATATGTCTTTTTTTTATTTGCAGCCACGAACTCATGCTTAGATGCTGGTCGTACAACCCGGAGGAGAGGCCGGATTTTGCATTTTGCTTGGATACCTTGGAGTTTCTGCGAGAGAAATACCAGGCTCTCGCAAGCATTGCTACGGCTGTCCACAATCACAACTACATTGGACAGTCCTTCACGGGTGAGTGTTTTTATTTATTTCCACGTCCGAAAATTACTAGTGTTTATCAGCATCGTGTTTGAATACAAGTCATTGGTTGTTCAAAATAGTTGCATTTGTTTAAATAGTCGGTGTCAGGGATGAGTTGTAATCCCCTTTTTTCCAGTAGCTTCACACTTTTCCTATAGCCATCTATCTTAACTGTAATAATGGCTTGCATCCACGTAGCCTCAAGATGAGCAACCCCTTTTTTTTTTGCTCATATTCAAGGATGGTGTAGTATAGCTTGATTTTTGCTTTTTTTTTCCCTATAAACTCCATTTCATATTGTGTAGCCATAACGTGTAGCCCACTGGTAAAAAGAACGCATCGGTGAATAGCCCACTCTCGGTAGACAGTTTATTGCCATTTACCCAGAAGAAGCAGCACAGGCTCGCTGCACTGGTGCAAGAAGTGCCACCTACCACAAGTCCATCTCTCTATGAAAGTTTCATAATTAGGGCTTACAGATGTTAGTTTTTATCGCTCACTGTTGTGTGCTTTTTTAAAAGCTGAATCAGCACAGTCTACTCTTCTACATTGTCCTGTTTTTGCATATTCTCACTGTTCACACAATGTTCCTTTGAAAAAAATGCACAATGGTTGCACAAAAATAAAAAAAGAAGCAGAAGAAGGGGCACTTACCCCACACAGAACTTGCACTAAGGCTTTCTGAGAAGCTTCAATGCTACACGGGTGCACCTTACTGCACATCAAGAAAAGTACTCGCACCAATCTATAATCACCAAGTATTTACGTTGATTCTTTGCGGGCTCACTTTGGAGGTATCTTCATAATTTCACCAATGCTAACACGAAATTGACTTGGAAGATGTCTATGGGGAGCTGGAGTTATTAAACACTATGTGCCTTCGGAAAAAACTGTGTGCCACAGTAAAAGAGGCTCGCAACGTCGGGTATTGAGTGAAGACATTCTATGGTTATTCATTCAATTGAAGACATTCAATCGAAGACATTTTATTGTCCTTCACTGATAACAAGGCACTCGCATAATATGAAAGTTGGTACATCTCGCAGACAGGTGGTTCGGAATGAGAGGATCATAAGCGTTCATACCCGAGCCAGCATTACGACTATCTGTAAACACTGGATTATTATCTATTGCTTTTAACAGCGAGAAGACCACATCGCTTGTTATTGATACCCGAGCCCGCATTACGGCCACCTATAATCACTGAATCTACCTCTTTTATGTCATGAAGAACAAATTGCGTGTTCTAACAAGTGACCAAATGTTTCCTGATATGAATACACGAATTCAGCAGCACAATCATTAGCCAGGTATTGACTGAATTGAGCCTCGAGTTTATAGTCTCTATACGAACGGTCTATTTGAGAAAACAAAAATGAAGGAACATAATGAGACAGGCGTTTGGTGTCAGTACTTCAAGCACTGCTACCAACTTGACGAAACAATTCTAAGCTGACGAGCACACACCTTTCACCGAAGCACCAGAGCACTGGAGTGGGGGGCGTTCTGGAGCACCTACTTACAGAATGCTATGCACCCTTCTTAAGAAACGAAAGTAGCCATATGTCGAGTCCACTAGATGTGGCAGTGCAAAATCACTAGTCTCTAGCCTGTGTGCTGCCTTTTTTACCCAACCTTGCAAACTTCACACGTTTTACTAACCTAAGGATAAACACCCATAAACGTCTATGGCACATGAATCCTTATTCACATATTATTTCTCATACAAATATTCCGTAAAATTATATAGGCTACGACCTCCCACTCATGGGAATCACACATTGCTCGATGTACCAGGGGTTATACATGAAATTGTGCCATATTTGTTAAATAACTGAGATACAGCCTGATCGTTTTGCGCATCTGGAGGTTATTCTCGCATTACTGCTGCATTGAGGACACCCTTACAGGAGTGGATTATCTGTGTCTATGTACACGTGCTTATACACTGCTAATTGTGTCCTGTAACATTGTATAGTGAGACTTTGTGTGCTGTCAAGTGCGTTCCCCCGAGTGAACGTCTCGTGTGTGTGTCTCCCGCCGCCCGTTGTAGGTGGCATTGACAATTTGGGTTACCAGGGAGAGCGTTACCCACCACCGGTCAGGTCACCGCAACCAGGTAGCGCTTTGCTTCGGATTCCCGCACTGCTGCACATGATGCACATGAACACGCAAAAAAAAACGTGTGCATGCCGCACCTCCCGCACACCCGCATGATGCCTATGACAATCTGGCTGCTGCCGCCACCGCACCCTGCACTGTATCTCTGTACCTCTTTCTTTGTGCATGCCTTCTATCCATATCGTCTGTGCGATTTTGTACCGTGTGTTAGAGGGACACTAAAGGTTAGGGTTAAACATTATTTTAAGATTCACTGCTAGTACATTGTGATCCCGATATCTCAAAAGCTCCACTGTTACTTTGAGAAGCTGTTTAGTAAACCATAAAACCTGGAATTAAAAATAAAAAAAGCAAGGAAGTGATAACATTGCACTGAAGTGCTCATCGTGACATCACATACCTTGACGTCCTCTATTGGGGCCTACGTAATTATTCATTGTTAAGAAGGAATGACATTGTGCTCTTAAAGTGCAGAAAGGTAACTGCTAAGGGTTGGTAACATATTTTGTGTCAATATAGTGAAATCCAACAAGTACATTCTGATACATAGTGTTAGGCCAATGCATTTGCTTCGGGGTTCCAATATTTATAAATTTTCAGTCTTGGCCTTCCCCTATTATAGTGAACCTTTCATGCCTAATTAAACCTCATTGTAAAAGAACATTTCTCATGTTCAACTGCTCTTGTATATACCTTTAGTGTCCCTTTAATATCCTTGAAGTGTGTGAGATTTAACTGGAAATTCATCAACCGTAAGTTGATTGTAGGTCGTCATTTTCAACACGTGTTAACTTCGCCATGAGGGCTGTCAGAAAATTTTACTTCTGGAATATATCTACGGCTACAGAGTAGGTTTATTTTTTATAGCGAATCGTTTTGAGCAGCCGTAATTCTTAAAGATCTTGTATGACTGCTTTAGTTATTTTGTTTAGTGCTTGAAACGGTGTTTTTGTGACAGCTGAAAGTTATGTTGGATGAATAATAAGGATTGATGCATGAAGAATCGAAGCATGAAAACTAGGGTGTCAAAGTTCATTTTTATTGTTTTGAAATAACTAGAAAAAGAGCCTCATATAGCCCGTAATCAAGCTGTCGTGAATTTGGAAGTGTTCCTGGGTAATGGAATGTGAATTGTAAATCATATGCGTTTGAACGGAAGTCTGCATGAAATAAAAAATGGCATGTTATGCTGGTAATGATTCGCTTATGGCTCAAGTGTGGTGTCATGTTTTACTCTCTTTTTCATCGCAAACGCTTATTGCTTAACGCATTTAGGTGATGGATAGATGGTGGTGGAAGCAGTGAGAGAACGCTTTTTTATATTTGTTTTCTGCAAACTCCGTGCTAATGAGCTGAGTATTAAATATTTCATCAAACTTTTGGAATCGCTCATTATTTCTTTTTATAAGTGGGCTTGAACGAATCATTAAAATCAACTTTACAGTTAGATTAACGAAAAGAAAGAGCAGCTTGAAAATATTGGACATTTTGGTGTGATTACATATCTGATATAAAAAGTTCGAAAAAATGTTAAAGACCTGCTTGCATTTGTGAATGAATAACTGAGAAGTTCTCTGCTTTATGCAGTCATAACCATGTAGTGTGAGTAGGTTTTATTGATAATGTATCATGTAACAATGAGAAAATAAATCAAAAGTTGTGGAATGTCAGCGAGACAAGTGCGTTTATCAATTGGCATAAAAGATAATTTTTACTTGTGGCTAGGCTGGTATATCACATAATTTTACATCTTTTATATATGTGGTTGGAGCAAGCATTCGCACTGTGGAAGTTTTATAGAGAATTTGCTCGTAGAGCATTAATACCACCTTTGCCGTCTACCATTTTTTTTCGATCGTCATTCTAGATCGCTAATGATCAGAAATTTTCCACCAGAGGTACTCATACTTATTGTCAGTTCAAATGAACTCATGCCAAAGTTAATTTTAAGCACCACGATCATTCCCATATTAAAGTTCAGTGCATAATTATGTCAGCATATCCCTGTGTATATCGAAAGAGTATTTACTCTGCCCTTTTTCATCAGGTCCTAGCAAAGTTCTGAGCACTCCGGAGCAGAATTCGTTGCTTCTGGCTCAAGAATCGGATTGCCTCAGCATTTCAAGTGACCCAGCAATGACACAGGTAAGCTCCTTATTGGTAGGTAGCGATCAATTTAAATTATTACCTTGACAGCCTTAAAGCCTTGAAAATATTTCTATGCAGAGTTACTTTTATTTGCTTCATGGCATTTTCACATATTCTCAACATTCAAAACAAACACATCACTTTTGGTTTCTTTCACGCTTGTAGTGTCAACACTGTCTTTTATGAACAATGCAATCTGGATTTGTGTGAGTACGAGAGCAGCAGTAAACGAAATTTGTGTGGAAGTTTTACAGATATGCTAACGGCATATTCTTATCATTGGCTGCAATGGTGTCCCAAATGAGTTTTGCAGCTAATTGCAAAGTATTATCCCGAACATAATAGGGTGTACGCTCACAGAGTTTTTGCACATCTCATTTTTTTCGTGAAAACTGAAGAGTGCAGAACTTTAGTATTGAGTACGAGAATTCTTGCATAGGTCAAGGTGACCCATGAATAATGTGCTGTAATATTATAGCATACCAGTTTCGGTGTTGGTACCCTGAATATCGTTATGTTGTGATATAGTCACACATTTGCTAACTAACCTTAGACTGTCGTCGTGATGCCGCCCGCAAATGGTGCCCGGAGAAAATTTCCTATTAAAAACTTGCCATTGATGCCTGATTTGGTGCGTGATGTCAGCAGGTTTTCCTCTGGACCATGATGTCACATGAATGTCGACGTGGTCAGACCCCGAAGTGTTTCCTATTGTGTACACTAGGAAAGTGTCATCATTTTTAATGATAATTATCGAAATCTGCGTGGAAGAATGTCTATATTTTTCGAGATGCCTGACTGCTCTTTCAGTGTTAATTTCAGGTGAATGTCGTTTTCCTTTGTCGTAATCATTCATGTATGTTACACAGACTCCTAGTACAAGGCATATTTCTTATAGTTAAGACATGATAATAGATAAAGAATCTTTAAAAATAACGCTTTGTCATACTTAAGGCACATTCGTTACACAATTAAATAACCATGCAGTTCTTGTAACATTTCGTTCTCACTAGTCGTCCCCTCCATTTTCAATCCCTGAGTCGTGCGTATTTTTTGTACAGCTGTATCTTATTGTGCATTCATAAACCTCTTTTAGAGTAGTTCGTCTGAGTTCAAGGTTCCTGACGTGAACTTCGCTACGCGTCGTCTTGACATTGAGTCCGCTGCATGTTTTCTGCTGGCTGCAGCAGTGACAGCACTCTCTCGCTGTTTGAGAGAGAGAGCTGACAGTGATCTCACTGCTCATGCCTATCGCTTGTATATTCACATGATGGTACTTCTTCTTTCTCATCGCGAGCAGTTGCCGCTGCTGCAGCACAGCCGGTACGACGCATCGCCTTTAACGCCGACCGACATGAATGACAATGCGACGCGGTACCTGCAGCTGCTGTGCGACAACGAGCCAGCGGTCGACGCCGACGGCTACGAGGTCCCGCTGCCGCCACCACCAAACCATGTTAGTTCTTTTCGGCAAGTCGGCGGCGGCATGGAAGCGTCTTCTCTTAGGGTCCCGGCTAAGCCGAGGGCACCTCTTCCTATTGCGGCCACACGGTCTTCGCGCATGAAGGCGGTGCCACCACCGGCGCTGTCTTTTCCCAGCATGTCACCGCCGGCAGTTCCACGGGTGAACCACATCACCGCCAGCAAGGAACAGAGTCGCAGTAGAGAGTCGCTGCTGAACAGTGACCAACGGCACAGCGAGGTTGACGGTAGCAACGACTGCGGCCGGAGGTCACCAACCGTCACATCGGCGCTTCTGAAGTCGCCCAAGAGCAGCTGCTCCGATTCAGAGTCGGGGGAAGGCGGGACGGCGCCGACGTATGACCCGATAGAGACCCTCAAGGAGATCTTCGCGCGTGGGGGTGGTCGAGGAAGGGAGACAGCGGATGCCCAGGGCTGGTCGCTGTCCACGTCCTCGACAGCACCATGCACGCCCTGTACGACGAGTGGGGACGACTCCGCGCCAGCGAGCCATCGCAACAGCGGTAGCGGTATCTCGTCCCTATCGGCCACATCGGCCATGGAGTTGGACTACATGCCCAAGTCGTCGTGGTGCTGAGAACCGGTGTGTGTGTTTGTGTGAGTGAGTGCGTGTGCGCATTGAACTTCGAGCGGAAAACTGTGGCGGACTCGAGTGGCCAAGCTGGATGACAGTAGAAGCCTGGCAACAGGTGTCTTTGTGGAGCGTCTTATCGACAGGACTGAAAGGAATAAGTCAGCGCAGTGGTTTAAGCGTGCCACGGAGAAAGTGCGGTGAAACGAAATGTTTTTTTTAGGGAGCCATCTTGTGGACTTGGAGACGGGTGCATTTAGCACTTGCACAATGATTTCTGTCAGTGTTCGTTGGCTAGGGCTACAGACTGATATGAATGGGCAAAGTTTTATAGAAGTCGCAGTGACGCAGTTCGATTGATCTGTTCTCTTCTGCAGGTGCTAAACAAAGCGTGAACTTGTCAAACAAGGATGCGGGGAAATACCTTTATGAGCGGACCAATTGCTGGTAGTTTTTGCCATCGGTGACGTTTACTGTGTTCAATGCAGAGGTCTTAGAAAATTCCTAGCGTCAACCATGCAGAGAGTCTCGGTGGGCAGTGAAAAGTCAGTTGCATTTGAATTATTCACTGCCGAAACCTCATGTCACTAAATTTCGCCAACAAATGCCGGTGCATCTTAAGTGAAAGCCAAAGCAAGGCACCTGCATCCAAACAAACAAAGATGGAAGGCTATACGTTATGAACTACATTTAATTGTTTTTTAAGTATGATGCTCTTGCGAGTAGCTCCCCTTCTCACCAGCTTTCAAGTGACCGGGCACTCCCACAAGAACATACGGGCACTTCAAGCGAGAATTCCGGGAACCCAAACGAAATCATTGGAGGCGATCAGCCAAAAGTTAGACGAAATGTTTGCATTTATTCTACCTCTTTACGAGGCACTCACGCAGGGTGACGTCGTGTTTCGGTCACAGTTTTACAAGTTTCTTTGTCATGCCAAAGTCAAATACGTATATAAGAAACCTATGGTGCTTGTTAAACTCCTGAGAGTCTTGCCTGTGTACAAATATATATATAATATGCCTTTTGCTCTTGCCACTCTAAGGGCATGTACTTGTACCATATCTTGTCTGTCACAACATTGTCACCCTTCACCTAGTAGTTGTGTTACGTTTGAATTTATGGCACATCGTTTACTATCGATGTGCTTCAGCAGTGGTCTTGGGGAGTGTACGTTTTATGTAAATAATATAGATCTGAAGATATATATATATATATATTATGCTTACAATCAAACTACATATATGAACAAATGAACTTCATCTTTGTGTGTGTGTGTGTCCTGTAAATTAATGTCCTGTAAATCGTATCTTTTAGCTGTATAGAACCCACGCATGCCTCTGTGTTTTCTGAAGCCACTGAGTTTTACTAAAGGTCATGTTGTTTGCATGCGTGATGATATTTTAGTCGCACAAATTTATTTTGACCAACTCCGCGTACAATTTTCAGGCCTCGTGTAGAAGCCTAAGTTTACTGAAATTGTAGGCGCCGAATACGTCGCTGTTTCAATTTGTTTGTTCCAGTTCCTAAATTAAAGAGGTCCCAACAAACCTTCCTTTGTTATTTCAGTTCCCCTCAATGGTGGAAGCACGTAATGAATGAATGAATGAATGATGAATGAATGAATGAATGATGAATGAATGAATGAATGATGAATGAATGAATGAATAGAACTCTTGGAGTGTTTCTGTCTCGATAAAAGCATCACCCATGCATCAAGCCTTGATGAGCAATAATTATAAAGCTCCTTGATGTGTTCCACCTTACACAGCCTACATTAAACTATAAACATTTATGTCATTGGGAGGTGGCAGTGATTTACAGCATCATTGATAAAACCACATTGCTTAGGAAGTTGCTGGGAAAAAACTACAGGCCAACCAAGTAAACACCCTTTACTTTCTGGCCATATCCTGGTTTCAGTAAAAGAACATTAAAAAAAATAAATTGTTATTTCAGCTGAAACGGATTGAACAATGTACTCTTAATTTGAATTGATATGTATGGTTTAACGTCCCAAAACCACCATATGATTATGAGAGACGCCGTAGTGGAGGGCTCCGAAAATTTCGACCACCTGAGGTTCTTTAACGTGCACCCAAATCTGAGCACATGGGCCTACAACATTTCCGCCTCCATTGGCGGAAATGTTGTTAGGACAAGGTGTGAGGAAAAGGTGTGAGAGTCAAATGATGTTAAGACAAGGTGTGAGAGTCAAGCTTGCCTCTCATGGGAATCGCTGGATGCATACCAAACACTGTCTAAATTTAGCCCTTAGAAGCGGCTGGTGCCTTGGCTTCAGAAAGAAAAAATGCTGGCTTGGACCCCTGGCAGCGACAGTGGAAAATGATCAAAACATGAACAGAATCCCCTGTTGTCAAATTCAGCAAAGATAAAGTAAATAACAGTGTCTTTCATAAAATGCATTTAGCGTCGCTTCAAGAGGCTAACCAGAAGGGAAAAAAATCTGTTTTTCTACCTTGCATAAGAAAACTCTAGATGGGGGAAGTTGAAACAAAGTGCAGAAAGGGGCTGTAGCCATATAGTATTACTCTGTGCTATAGCCACTTGTACAGGCCAATTAAAAGCTGGAACAGTACCGTCATTGCCTTAAGCTGCAAGCTGCAGTTAGAATGTTGACATCTTTACAACATATTTTGTCTAGAGGCAGACATTGATTAGAGCGAGCGAGACATATTGTGAGCCACCATTCGGTTTCCGAGTGGAGCTTCTTTCGGAGACATATAAGCCCCTTGGATCAACCAGAGGGTGTTACCATCTTTGCATAGATCACCTCAACATTGCCTACACAAGCTGCCTATGCAAACACACACAAAAAAAGAAGCGAGAAGGCCATGCGAAAGAACGACCAACCAACATATTTAAAGGTTACAGGTTCAGATCCTGCCTATGGCAAGTCATCTTCTCATCCACATTTCTTTCTTCCCAGCTGCATTACAATTACTTTTAATAACATCCCCTATACTTTACTTGTCGTAGTTATCAGTTCTCATCAACAATTCTTTAGTGATTCGAGGGCTAGACGCACCAAGCATTGCTTACACTTGCAAACGCTTGCTTTTTTTAGCTCGATTGGAACGGTTCTGTACGCATGAAACACTACTACCACAATGAGGAAAGGGTGAGAGCGCCAGAGTCTCGGATCTTGGAGACTCACCCTCTTGGTCCAACCCTTTCCTCGCAACAAGTCCAGAGAAGACCACAGCGGTCGCCGCTGCAAGTGAGCGCGGAAGGTTTGCAGCGACACCTTAGTCAACCGCAACTCGTGTGCTACGTGGACGTCGCTGGCCCACACCAGGGGGTGGGGTGGGGGGTGGCATACGGCCACAGTCGTGCACAAGAGATACACAGTAAACGGGCTCACTTTCAAGGCCTACAGCGCAACAAACGCGGAGGAGATTGCCATCACTCTGGCTACCCCTGTCCCTCTTCGAAACATATCACCGACTAGCGAGGGGCCTGTCGAAACTATCAGCCAGGGTGGGCCTCCTACTTGCTGAGCGCATACGTGCTGGAACCTAGCTGCCAACACGTTGAACTAACTCCACGTAATCGGGTTTCGGAACCTGGTCACCAAGGACTCAAGGGAAACGAACAGACCGATTAGGCCGCCCGCGGTCTCTCTCCGGAGAATCTCCCTGTTTATGGAAGCCTACTCCCAATCAAACAATTCGGCCCTTTTATTAAAGACATCACCAGTTATTACTAGGACGAGCACGGGCGCTATCTGGACTCTTGTGAGGGACAGGATTGCGCTGACGAGTGCCTCCTTTTTAAATCTGCTTATCAACGCTGTACTGTGCCTAGCGGAGCTAAAACATTTATATTCATGCTTTGATGGCACACGCCAGTTCTGTGGAGAGGTGACTGCAACCTCCCACCTGGTCTGGACGTGCCTATATATCAAACCCATCTATGCCCACCCCACCCAACACCCACCCCACAAGACGTCTCCACTGTCAAGACCTGAAGGCTCAAAAGGCCCTGGTTCAACGGACGCGGGTGGCATTGTTTGTCAATGGAGCTGTGGAATATGAGTTCCACCTGGTACTGTGAGGGGGGGGAGGCCAATAGGGCCCCAACCCGGTCACATAAGCCCTTTTTAACAATTTAATGGTTATAAATGTTTTTACCACTACTAACTAACCACCCACCTTGATCGCTAACGCGTTCATAGTTATGTCCGCAACGGTGGACCAATGGCTGCGGTTATAGGCTGCAAACCTAAAGTCGAGGGTTCAATCTTGGCCACGGCGGTCGAACTTCGGCGGAAGCGAAATGGTAAACGCCCGTGTACTGTTCGATGTCAATGTGTCCTAAGGAGGAGAAATGGTCGAAATTTTTGGAGCCCTCCACCATGGCGTCCTTCGTAATCATATTCTGGTTTTCGGATGTAAATCCCCAGATATTACTGTTATTAGCACGTCCGCTTATATACCGCACATGGGTCCCTCGGTGTTCCCACGCCCCGTATAGTTATGTGAAATATGCGGCGGGGAGGGCCACACGGGTTAATGGCGAGTTTACACTGTTGTCATTTATTTATTTATTTATTTATTTATTTATTTATTTATTTATTTATTTATTTATTTGTGGAACCTACATAACCCAAGTGGACATTATTCAAAGGGAACACGGAAGCGAGCTGCCTGCAATCGGTGGCGCGTACCTTTCATCATCATCATCATCATCATCATCAGCCTGACTACGTCCACTGCAGGACAAAGGCCTCTCCCATGTTCCGCCAGTTAACCCGGTCCTGTGCTTGCTGCTGCCAATTTATACCCGCAAACTTCTTAATCTCATCTGCCCACCTAACCTTCTGTCTCCCCCTAACCCGCTTCCCTTCTCTGGGAATCCAATTAGTTACCCTTAATGACGAGCGGTTATCCTGTCTACGCGCTACATGCCCGGTCCATGTCCATTTCCCCTTCATTATTTCGACTATGATATCCTTAACTCCCGTTTGTCTCCTAATCCACTCTGCTCTCTTCTTGTCTCTTAAGGTTACACCTACCATTTTTCTTTCCATTGCTCGCTGCGTCGTCCTCAATTTAAGCTGAACCCTTTTTGTAAGTCTCCAGGTTTCTGCTCCGTAGCTAAGTACCGGCAAGATACAGCTGTTATATACCTTCCTCTTGAGGGATAGTGGCAATCTACCTGTCATAATTTGAGAGTGCTTGCCGAATGTGCTCCGCCCCATTCTTATTCTTCTAGTTACTTCAATCTCGTGGTTCGGCTCTGCGGTTATTACCTGCCCTAAGTAGACATAGTCTTTTACAACTTCAAGTGCACTATTACCTATCTCGAAGCGCTGCTCCTTTCCGAGGTTGTTGTACATTACTTTCGTTTTCTGCAGATTAATTTCAAGACCCACCTTTCTGCTCTCTTTGTCTAACTCCGTAATCATGAGTTGCAATTCGTCTCCTGAGTTACTCAGCAATGCAATGTCATCGGCGAAGCGCAGGTTACTAAGGTATTCTCCATTAACTCTTATCCCTAACTGTTCCCATTCTAGGCTTCTGAAAACCTCCTGTAAGTACGCGGTAAATAGCATTGGGGAGATTGTGTCCCCCTGCCTTACACCCTTCTTGATTGGTATTCTGTTGCTTTCTTTATAAAGCACTATGGTAGCACTTGATCCCCTGTGATTTCTTCCAGAATGTTTATATATACTTCATCTACGCCCTGATTCCGCAGTGTCTGCATGACGGCTGATATTTCTACTGAATCAAACGCCTTCTCGTAATCTATGAAGGCTATGTATAGTGGTTGGTTGTACTCTGAGCATTTCTCTATTACCTGATTGATAGTATGAATGTGGTCAATTGTTGAGTAGCCTGTTCGAAATCCTGCTTGTTCCTTTGGTTGATTGAATTCTAATGTTTTCTTTACTCTGTTAGCAATTACCTTTGTAAATAGCTTGTATACTACAGAGAGCAAGCTGATCGGCCTGTAATTATTCAAGTCCTTGTCATCTCCTTTCTTATGTATTAAGATAATGTTAGCGTTCTTCCAAGACTCTGATACCCTTACCGTCAGGAGACACCTCGTAAACAGGGTGGCTAGTTTTTCTAACACAATCTGTCCTCCATCCTTTAGCAGGTCTGATGTTACCTGATCCTCACCAGCAGCTTTGCCTCTTTGCATGCTCTCCAAAGCTTTTCTGACTTCTTCTATCATTACTGGTGGGGTGTCATCTGGGTTACTGCTAGTTCTTATAGTATTAAGGTCGTGGTTGTCTCGGCTACTGTACAGATCTCTGTAAAACTCCTCCGCTATTTTAACTATCCTATCCATATTGGTCGTTATTTTGCCTTCTGTGTCCCTTAGTGAATACATCCGACTTTTGCCTATCCCAAGTTTCCTCTTCACTGCTTTGACGCTTCCTCCGTTTTTCAGAGCGTGTTCAATTCTCTCCATGTTATACCTTCTTACATCGCTTACTTTACGTCTATTAATCAACTTCGAAAGCTCTGCCAGTTCTATTTTGTCTGTAGTACTTGACACTTTCATGAATTGACGCTTCT